CGACCTCGCTCTGCCTCTCACCTCTCTCTCCTTCCTACTTCCAGCTTCTGCCTCTTTCCTTATTCCCTCTCCCCAACTCAGTGCTTCTCAGCCTTTTTCCCCATTAATTACCCCCCAGGAGCCTTTTTAGACCCCCCAATTGCCCCTTCCCTCCCACGCAATCTTACCAAAGAGACCCACGGTGCACCGTGTTATGTTCCGTGGCCCCCTTGGAGGACCACAAGCCATTGTAATGGCTGAGACTTCCTGTCCTCCAAGACAAAAAGTTGTCCAGTTTTTGCCCCCTAGGGGTGTCGTCTCCCCAGTTGAGAATGCATGCCTTCACCCAACTCAGGCCAGGTCCTCAAGAATTTTCCGACAGGCTGCTGCCCATTCTCTTCCCCTCCCTGCTGCCAGCTTCTTGGAAGTCCACACCGCTCGCGCCTCTTCAAAGCAACCGAATCAGGTGCTGCTCTGCTGACTCTGCCGTCAAGAACTTCTGCTTGGCGCAGCTCTAAGAGGATGTCTCCTCCTGGTGGGGCATGCGTGTGCAGGGCTGTACGTGAGTGTATGGCTGATTCTTTCTGTCTGGCATATGACGACTGTTCAAATATTGAAGTTTGTTCATCTGAAACATTGTTAGTAGGCCCCAGAAACCAGCAGCTGCAGATTCTCACCAACCAGGAAAAAAGCAGACTGGAAAAAAATGGCAACAGCTGCAATTTCATTACATGAAGTGACAGCTACCACCGAACTTCACGGCCTGGTATTTCTAACCATGGAATGAGAGAAAGAGAGCCTAAAAGCACTAAGGAAGGCCGACTGCACGCACATTTCACTTCTGTGGTAACTTCACTCTAGTGAAGAAATGACTTTATCTTTTTGCACAAGGAGGCGTGGGCTTCCTCTTGGGTTAGAAAATGGCAATGCACGGTCAGCAGTTTTGCAGAGGGCTGGGGGAGGGGGAGGCCTGCACGGGCCTCTTGCTGATGTCCACATTTTTGGTTCAACGCCTCTATTTTGAGTGTCTACCCTGTACCAGGCACTGCCAGGTGATGAGTGCACAATAGTGAGCAAAAGGCAGACCCGGAGCAGCGATCACCGAGACTGAGTCTGATGGGAGAGAGAGATGCTAAACACATAACCATACAAATACATGCAAAGTCACCTATGGTACCTGCCATAGGGAGACACGGAAGATACCCTGAAGTACTGTGGTCCTGGGTCAGAGCTAGCTTAGTCTGAACTGATGATGGGAGTGTGTTCCCCACTGAAGGAATGGCATGTGCAAAGGTCCTGCGGCAAGAAGGAGCTTGGTGTGTGCAAGAAGTCTCGTGGGACCAGACCCAGAAAGCACGAGGGGCAGCACTGATGCAAAATGCACCTGGAGATGAACAGGCAAGGCCCAGCCACGCAGGACTTCATGAGGCAAATTAAGGACTTGGGTCTCTATCTTGACAGTGATAAAGTGGGAAATCTCTGCATGTTTTTAGCAGAGGAATGGAATGATCATTTCACATTCTGAAAAGACCACTCTGCCATTGTAGGAGGCCGAAGGTGGATATAAAAAACCAGTTAGGAATCTACGAGAGAAGATGGTAGCTTAGGCTTGGGTGCTGTTGGGGGGACAGACGAGGAGAACAGAGAGAACTGAAGAATAGTCGGGAGTCAAAATGGACAGGGCCTGGTGATGGACTGGATGTGGGAGATGAGATCAATGTGTGGCTGCTTAATTCACTCTGCATTTCCTCCCAGAACGCAAAATAGATATGCTAGCTCCTCGTTAATCAGGTTTCACTCTCTAAAAAGGAAAGCCAGTAATTTCACAAATAGGGCATCTAATCATTATCTTACTCATCTCGTGAGTCTGTTTTGATTACTGCATTTACTCTACCTGATTCAATCCAAAGTCAGAAAAACCCACATTAAATGAGGAAGTTTAAGAATTGTTTTTAATGAACCATAGACATGAGCTATAATGACCATCAGAATCTTTATCAGAAGTCTACTTAAAAATGCAAACATCTTGTTTGGTTTGTACTTATCAGGTGGAAATAGTTACATTTAACTGTAACTAAGGAAGGTTTAGTCTGCTTCTAACTTTGGCATCACTAATGTCTTCTGAACTGTGTTAAGTTAGTCACATGGATTTCTACAAGTGGATATAATATAGAGAGACCTTTTTTTTTTGCATTTGACACCCAAGACTGATTTTAAATCTTCCTTAGTTCTTTATCCCTACTCCTCCCTACATGTGTTAAAAATGCAAAGAAGACACGGTTCTAGGATGGTTAGCCATGTGTTATCCTTTGAAAATTGGCAGTTAAGACCCTTAAATATGTCCAGCTTAAAAAAAAGTCATTGCAATTCCAATTATTTTGTTGTCTCACACTTGGAGCTTCCATTACTTATAACATTAAAAAAAAACCTAGGCAGCATGATTCATTCCTTTGCTCACTAAGCATTTAGCAGTCACGGCTACACACCGGGCACTGGAGAAACCAAGCAGGCCTCAGGGGGCTCACAGCGGGCGGCAGGCCGGGGATGGCTGGAGGACAGAGCGTTACGGCGGGGGAGGGGAGGATGGGTCGGCAAGGAGAGGGCGCCACGCAGCCAGTGACAGGGCACGGGGCGTCCTGGGGGACGCCGAGGCAGGCCCCCCATGGCTGTGAAGGTGAGAGGACGGAGGTGTTGGGAGGGAAGGTAAAGGTGGGCAGCGAGGGGTCCTAAGCCGTGCAGGAAAGGTTTTAATTCACACTGAAGTGCACAGGCTGGCCAGTGAAGAATGTGTGTCAAGCAGAAGAGTTACAGGTCCAGGTTTGCTCTTCAGAACCACTACATCCGGAGCATATGTGTGGAGGCATCAGAGAACGGACTGGAGTGAGGGGCGATGTAGGGACCAGGGAGACTGCTACCCGACACAGCCAAGGAACCGGCAGAGCCTCAACAAGGGGAGGGTGCAGACAAGGGGAGCGATGAGCAGGCTGGGGCTAGAGGACGCAGCGACCGGCTGGACACGGAGGGAGAGGGACGATTCCAAGGGGACTCCAGTTTCAGGCCGGAGGGGAGGGTGTGGCCACTGGTTAGACCGGAGTAGAGATGGGGGGTCGGGAGGAGGAAGTGGCTTTTTCAGTTCGGGGACCTGTGGGTCTTTCAGGAGACACGGCTCAGGAGGCAGCCGAAGCAGGGGGAATCTGGACGCTAGAGGAAGGGTGTGGGCTGCAGGTAAGAGGCTGGCGGTGAGCAGCGCAGAGATGCGCAGAGTGAGGCCGCCCAGCGAGCGACGGCAGGACAAGGAAAGAAGTGGGCAGGGGAGCATCAGCGTGGCGGGGCCAGCAGAGCAGCAGGGCTTAGGGGAGGTGGAAGGAGAAGAGCGGAGTGGGGTGGGGAGTGGGGAGAAGGGGTGAAGTGGGGGTGACTTGCAGGGGCTTCAGGGGAGGGAGCAGTGGAGGAAGGAAGCAGACAAGGGCCAGAACCCATTTACATTCAGTCCTGGGCAGGGGGGCCACCGCTAACCTGGAGGGGACAGCTCTGGGTGTGGTGCAGAAGAGATTTCCCTCCCCCACCCCACGACAGGACTCCCACAAGGACAGCAGTGTCCATCGGTCTGTGAAGGTTTGGAGGCATGAAACACAGTACGGAGCGAAAAAGGATGGGGAGGGCAAAATGAGATTCTTAATGGACTCGTTGATGATTTCCATTAATCCCAGGGTCTCTCTCATTCCTGGTGCCTCAACTCAACCAACCAGGAAGGAAAGAAAACACAGACTCCCTGAGACCCACCCACTTCTGGGACTCACACGAGTGACGGTTTCCTGGCCTGAGCGGATGTAACAAGTGATTTTGGTATGTGTGATCACGTTCCTTCGCAACAGTTTTTACCCCAGGTGTCATTAATTTCTTTATATCCAGCGGCACCAGCTTCTTTTTTCTAAGACTGCGAACCCAAGAGGGCAGGGACCTGATTTCCTTACCTCGCCTATAAAACTGAGCACAGCATCGTGAAACGATAGCCAACGTGAGCACACTTTTTGGACAGCGGAGCACACTTGCAATAATCTCTGAAGCAATAAAGAACCGATCAATGTCATGTTCCATTAGCAAGCCTTAAAACGGGCTCCATGATCTCATGAACGCCAAGGCCACGTACACTTGGTCTGGTAGATGGGAACTCTCTCTGGGCTTTTGTGAAAGGACAGGTACCAGGGGTTGGATAATCCTGAGAAGTCCTTCCCAAAAGCATCGTTATCACCGGGGGACAAATGAACCAAAGGTTTCAGGTTGAAGACAAACACATCCTACAGAACTTTAGGATGAGGATGAGAATTCCAAGAAGGCAACTTTATCTTTGAAATTGATCTTTATGGTTAATCCAGCCTTAAAGACAGTATTGGTGCAAAGCAAGAAGGAATGTTAGAAAACCCTGAGCCTGCTGAGCCCCCAAAGACAAACTTCACCATGACAAGGGAACCATTAAAGCAGAGGGAAAAAAACCAAGGCCCCCCCCCCAGGCATCACCTACTCCTGGTCATGTATTTATATCACTAAGTAAACATTTACACTATTTTTTTGAAGCATCCAAATTTTAAAACCGAGGCACAGGGCTTCCCTGGTGGCGCAGTGGTCGAGAGTCCGCCCGCCGATGCAGGGGACACGGGTTTGTGCCCCGGTCCGGGAAGATCCCACATGCCGTGGACCTGTGCTCCGCAACGGGAGAGGCCACAACAGTGAGAGGCCTGCATACCGCAAAAACAACAACAACAAAAAAAACCCCCCAAAAAACCAAGGCACAAACATTCACATTCAGATCTGCTTTAGATGTGAGAAGTAGGTGCTACTTCACACACCAGAGGCCTTAGAATTTCTCTAACTTTGCAGGAAGAGAGGCAGTTGTAATTGGGACTTGGCTTCCTGGCATGACAATAAGATACTGATACAATCAGATGATAATCAGCAAAGACTCAAAGAAGCAAAGACTCTTTGAAAGTCCAGGGGGAGCTCGTGGGGTTACCCACACATACCTGCCCAAAGTTTTCTTCATCAATGCAAAACATAAGGTCCAGTTCAGTCGGATCGTTTTCTAAGATCCATTTCAAAGAGTTGTAGTATTCACTATCCTACAGAAATGACACAAAAATTAAAATTAAGCATTTTTTCCCAAAACACACACTCATTTCTTTAAATAATTATGTCCTTTAAATGTAATTCCATCCAGAATCTCAAGAAATGCATGAGTCACTAATATGTTTCCAGCTCTACCCCAAACCTTCTCTTCCACTTTAATTTAAAAATACAAACTAAAAAACCGCTTTGGTAGTAACAGGGGTTTGTAGTTGGATCCTGTCCTCTGTCAAGAGGAAGCAGCCCGCTCTGGATGGCCGTCATAACATTACGGAACTGAACATGTAGAGATGAACATACTCCCCATCTTTTAAGAGTGAAAATATCAGAGGAAAGGAGGAAGGATAGAGAATGCTCTACTTAAATACCAGTGGTTTCAAGTTATGCCCCTTCCTGTGCTTCCAGCACTCTCTGCAAGTCACTGTGAGCCAACAGGAAGAGGCTGCCCTGGTGTCAAAACCCGGAACACAGGCCCCGAGAGCCTGGACTCCTCTGTCTCTTGGGCAGCCCCAGGGGCTCGACGAAGACCAAACAGAATGTGTGCACCGACTGTCAACGTGGCGAATAAAATTACTTTAGACTTGAAGAGAGATTTTTATACTCCTAGCCTCCTCACCATACAGTAACAAAAGCATAAAGGCTAAGCTAAAGGTAAACGCTGAAGAGAAACTCGACACGGGTACCGTGCATACACAGAGCTGCCCGCCCGGGGAAAACCCAGCTGAGTGGACTTGTGTGCACTGCTGGCCTTCTACTCTCCTTCCACACCCAGAGGATGAGCTGTGAGGGAGGGATGCACGGCCATATAGCCAACTACACAACGCGTACAGTCAACACGGCAGCGAGGCTGAGGGGAGGAAGATGCTTTCTGACTCAAGTGACAGAACGTGAGAGCAGAGCTGCAAACACCCCAAATGGACGAAGATGCTTCCTGATGGCCCCGTGTGTGGCTGGTGAATGGTGAGAGGTGAGAGGTGAATGGTGGGAGTACAGGTAAATTAAACGAAAAACAGAAGCAAAAGTATACCAGGAAAAGAGCATCAACTTTTGTTCTTTATAGAAAAGCCTTTCAACTCTAAAATGGTCAGCCTAGATTAAATAAGTTAAATGCAACATGAAAACCCAAATCAAAAGTTAGCAGTTATTTTCTACCTTTTCATTCGTCTCCTACACTGTAGTGGTCCCTTACCCTTCTTCCGTATCTGGGATGAGTATAAACAGTCTTCCCTTCATCTACTGTTTTCGTCTGGCTCCCTGCCATTTTTTGAGGTCGGAAAACAGAGGGATAGCGGATGAACCTCTAAGTGTGCAGTATTAGCAGTTTTCCATGGAAAACAAGGGCAGCAATGAGGTCTCCAAATGACCCTTGGATTTAATTTGGTCAAACCAGTTCCGAGTAAGCAGAGGTAACTGAGATGTGGGTGTACCCACCCTAAATACCACGATTCTAGGAAATGTGAAGAATGATTTGCTTATTAAAAAATTTAGGGAGATCAGTTAGCCTCTTGAACAATCCCTGTTGTCCATACTGAATGGCGACGCCCATAAAAATTGCTGTGACTACAACATGGTCTCGGCTGCCTTCCCATAATGCACAAGCTGCTGGTGCGGCCCGCGGGAGTGACCTCTGTTTACTCACCACAGACTCCATGTCATTCAGAGTTATCTGCTTCCCCAGCATCATTTTGTAAAACGGTCGAATGAAGAAACCTAAAACGCGGTGAAAACTGAGTTAGTTTCAAATCTTTGATGATGCTGTGTATCCGAGCATGAAATAAAAGATTAACCTGCTTTCATCTGAATGAGAGACCGGGACAGAACAGTCGAGGGTTTTCTACAGTAAGATGAGGGCCTGGTTTGGGGCAGGGTTGGGGGAAGGGGTTTAGGAAGGAGGGCAGTTATACTAACAGAGATGGTACAGCAGAGGGCTGAGGTCAGAAAGGCTGCTGGAGGTGACAAACGAGCTTCAGGCACAATCAGGAATCTGTAGCGCAAACGGCGCACGCACGGTGGGAGAGAAGGGTACTCCCAGCAGAGGGACAAGACCCGGGACTCGCCAGGACCGAAGCACAGGGCATCCCGGGCAGACAGGCCAGACGAGGGACTGGGCAGGGAGTGTACAGCTTACACGCTGCCCAGGGCCAAGGGGAGTCACTGAAACGCCAGGGGGCAATTCCACCTGCATTTCAATGTCATCGCTTGGGCAGTAATGGGAAGAGCAACTGGAAGGGACAGACAGGAAGGAAACGAGGGAGGCCGTTCAGAAGGCTGTGCAGTCTTCCCGGGCCGGGTGATGACGGCCTGAGGGAGGCGAGGGCGGTGGCAATGCCGGCACGACTGCGCAGGTGCCCTGCAGGGACCCCACTTCACCCCGTCCCAGGCAAGTCAGCGTCACACGCCCCCTGACACAGGCGCCCCCGGAACCTCAGTCCTCTCCCTTCACCCTCAACTCGCATCCTCAGCGCCCCCTCCAGGTCTAACCAGCCTCCCCCACAGCCCGTTCCCGCTCCCACTGGCTCAGTGCGGCCCTGCGGCTGCGGCTCAAAGCCCCTGCTGTCTGGGGGGTGAAGCCACAGAAGGGAGTAGGGGCTGATCTGATGTGCAGCGTGTCTGCTCTGCCTCCAGGGCCGTTCATGGTCCCGGGAAACAAAGACACTGCTGGCCACACACCTGGGGTCATTCGGGCTCTTCTTGCAATTCCCGAGGACACGGTTACCTCCTATCTCCTTTTGCAGCAGGGACCTAGATGCTCCCATCACTACTCCAGGCAGCCCTGACTCCTGGCCCATCCTCGTTCTTCTGAAACGATCCCAGCTTCTAAGTGCGCCAACCCCACCGCAGCCTCCTGGCGAGGCTAATGCCGGTAAAGCGCTCCCCCCCAGAGACCTCCGTGTGCTCCCTTCTGCCGGACTCTGGACCCATGTTTCCTGTACCCTCACTAGAACATCGGTCCCCTGAGGTCAGGATCTCAGCTTAAACTTCTATTTCCCCTGTAGCAACTAAGAACGTCTTCTTTCTCAGCAGAAGGTACATAACGGCCGTTCTAATAATCTATGGCATGACTCCAGTGCTGCAAATTAAAATACATTCACTGTATATACCTATACAGAGTGAGAACAGTTTCCCCCAATCAGAAAAAAAAGTGTTTACTCCTGCCACCAGCCCCGCCCCCCATAAAAAATACAATGTTGAAATTAGAGGATCAAAATCAGCTAGCCATTACCAGTAAAAATTTATTAAAGGAGGAAGTACACAGGGTACATCAACTAGCATAGCTAAGGTTCCACAAATGCAATTCCCATAATTCTCCTGGAAATCTCTCTCTCCAGTAACTGCAGTGTCAATCTTAATCTTCATCTGTCTTCTACTCTCAACCACTTCACACCTAAATTCTTCAAAAATATTTCTGATTCTCTTTCCTCGCTGATGATTTCTGTAATGTTCTCTTAAGGGCACTACTTTTTCAATGACCAAATCCATAAGAAGTCTCTATTATAGGCCTATTGATTCAGCCAGGGAGGGGGGTTTCACTCCTGACTTCCAAGGTCCCTTGAAATTCTTGGTACTTTGCATGACTTACATGCTTTAGATAATAATGAGATTATTCTGTGCCATCTGTTTCAGCAGTGATCTCAGGGGTCAAGGTCTTAGCTGAGTTATAACACTGCTTTGAAATTATTTACAGTCTCTTCACATTCAAAAAAATGGTAATTTGGGGACAAACAGGACAATGGCAGGATACTGGCTGAATTAGACCGTTTTAATGAACTTTTCAATCAATACTTTCCATCTGTCATCAAATCTAGTTCCTGCTAAAGAAATGTTATTCTGGAAAACATAGAAAATGCACAAATACAGAATGTTCTGTGCTTCACACTTAAGTTTTTCAAAAAAAACCTTTTTCAAACTGTGTGTAGACACTATGTCTTCAGTGCTCAGATAAGATGACACCAGGAAAAAAAGCACCTTCATTATGGACAAAACATTAAAGAAACTACTGATTTACAGAGGGAGAACCAGTGAAGCACTTTTGCTTAAAACCTATGATGTGAAAGATAAGACACCTGATAAGAGACCACAGACAGCACTGTCCAATTTTTATTACTTCAACACTTTTTAATAACTTACCATCTAAAAGTTTCCCATGAAATACTGCCAGACCAGCAACTCTTCCAATAAAAGTGAAATAGGACAAATGATCTTCATTACAGAGGCCTGAATTGGGATTGATCTGAAGTGTGTAGTTGTCCCTTTTTAGGGAGGGAGAGAGAGAAAAAGAAAGGTGGTAAATAAATGCAATAAATAAGAAATGCAAGAATTTGAATTTTCCAGTGCTGCCTGTCATTAAGCTTTTACAGTGCGCCTACAAACATCCTGTACCTGACAGGTAAGGCATAAAAGCCAGACAACGGGGCTGATTTGGTTAGCCCTTTTCCGTGACCAAGGACGGAGGTCTACTGGAGCTGGTGAATATGCCGTCATGTTAAACCGTGAGAAACTGGATCTCTGACTACTGTTGATCGACAAAAATCTCAATTTCATACGGTTCAGCCAGGTATTTGGGGAAGCTGAGAAGCCCCACATACCAAAGGGGCTGGACAGGGATTCCCAGCTACGTGTGAGTGCAACAGGTTGTCTCTGTGAGAAAGGGGGTTAACTCCCTTGAGAAGCTTTTGGTTTGGGGATTAAAATTTTTCCCAGGGGTCCAACCCCTGATCCATCTGACCAGCATTCTGCCCTGAAAGGCCTGGAGGCCACTGGTAGCAACATACGGCTGTCCCAACAGTGCAAACCTCACGAGGTTGATGTACACCTCATCGCCCTTCTTTGATCTCACCATCAGGAGGATCGGTGGTTTGCAAAATGGGCTCCGGGGCCAGATTCTTCTGGGGGCAGCTTTGGGAATGTGGGTAAGAGGTGCAGATCTCGCCTCTGGATCCTCCCCTCCACTTCAATGGCTTTTATCAATTTTACAAAATGGGAAATTCTTGGCCAGAGCATCGGAGAAGAACACTGAGGCTGCCTTCCAAAAGAGCTCCCAGGAGACCGGCACCAGGGGGAAGACACGGGAGAACCCTTGTGCCTGCAGAGCACAGGCTGCTTTTCAAGGTCAACTGTTTTACTGGGGGCTCGGGTCCTGCCTAAGCCTCTGGAGAAGCCACAGCCTGGAGGAGGAAAGGGTGGCCTTGCGAGTAGCAGTGTTTGATTCCCGAGAAAGCAATGGACTCTGCCTCGGTCTGCACGCCTGGCAGTGATGAAATCCTAATGCACGGTGGGGTGGGCGTGGTCCTTTGGATCCTAAAGGACGGGTCCTCAGTTTGCCTTTAAGTAATTTGACTTCAGAAACTATTCTTGTTCATAAGACAACAACCTTCTGAATTCTGACAGTGACAAATTCTCCTAAATTAACATAACGTTATGAATGAAAATTGCCTTGTTCCTTAGCGTTAAGTACCCAACACATTTTCAATCTCAATTACATGAACACAACAGACAAGAGAAGAATTATTTTTAGGTGTTCACAGAGTACGTTAGTTCACCATGAAGAGTCAGACCTGTTCTAGACTTACAGGGGCTGGCGGGGAGGGGCTGAAATCAGCAGTGTCAATTCACCTCTGAGTGAGCTGCTTATTCTTTCATTAAGTTTAAATTCATGAAGAATAAAACTGCTTCAGTGCGGACACCTTCTGAATGCACTCCAGACACTTACGTTGCAGAGTACTCGAACAGACCGTAATAGGGGTTGAACATCTCTTTGGACAGTAAGAAGAACCATTCTCTGGCCACGCCCCCATAGTCCAGACCTTTTTCTGATTCAAATTCAATCCACAGCCTAGCTTTCAGGACATCTGGTCTTTTCACAGACATGATTCTCCGATAGGACTCTTCAAATATGTTATTTCTGTGAAGTTTCATTTCAAACCTATTTGGAATATCAGCCTAAAAACAAGAGGAAAAAAACCCCACACACCATCAGACAGTAAATATACACCTTACTTCCTAACAGAAAAAAAAACAAAAACAAAGAGCAGAAATGATGGCAGCCTTCAAATAAACAAGCAATGATGAATGGTTCCAACCGAAACTCTCTCCTTTCTAGATTGTTCTTCACACAGAGTGTCAGGAGGAGACACACAGCATCCACCAGCAGGTGTCAGACTGAGCCAGCAACACGCGCTGCAGAAGAAACTATGCTGAGTGAAGACAGTCATCCTCTCTCCTTTTTATAAGCAACTGTGGGGCACTTATCTGCCCACTGGCAACTGAAATATGGTCAACTCTGTATACTGTTTTAGTCAAAGTCCAGGGGATTAAAACCCATAGACAATCCCCACCTGGCCAGGCTGGGATGACCCTCAGCCCTGGTAAGGGACTCCAGCTGGTAGCTGTGACCATGATGCCTACAAGCTAGTTCTGTTGCCATGGGGAGTGGGACCCTGATTATCACGGCCAAGTTGTGGGCAAGCATCCCAAAGGCAACAGTTACTAAACGTGAAAATAAAAAAGCACTTGACTGAAGTTGTGAATAACTGCTTCCTGGCAAAACAGGTCCAGGGTCAGCTTTGCCAGGATGATGGATCTACAGAGTCAGTTTCCAGGCAGAAGGTACCACGGTGCAAGTGCCACAAAGTGAGACAGCGTGATGTCTACAGTCATCACATCACTGGAGGAAATGCAGGCGGCGCACAAAGAAACACTGGAATTCCACAGGTTCAAATGTGAGTCATTTCAGAAGGAGTTACCCAGGAGCTCCTTGAGTCAGGATGTTAGAAGAGAGAACAGAACCCGTAAGAGGGAGCTCCCCAAGGCAGAGGCTGTGTTCCAAGTGTCTCTGCATCCCCAGTGCCTCGTCCATAGCAGAGGCCAGGAAAATGAGGCATCAGCTGAGGGAGTGGAGCGGGGTGGGGGAGATGGGGAAGGAACACAGGCAAATGGGGGTGATCTGAGCTGCAGCTTTCCCCAGTGAGGAAGCCAAGAAATGGTGACGGGAACAAAAACACCCCCAAAATAGTGAAGGCACAAACTTAGGAGAAAACTGGTAAAATTTACACCAGAGAGGTGAAATCAGAAAGTAAAACAGAAGACATAGTATTAAAGTATCTGGGGAGAGATGTCAGTAGAAAATATAATATTGTATTTTAAAACACTGCCTGTAAAAAGCCTTACAGGGTTTCTCAGTTTTTGTCAGAATCTTAATGGGTTTCCTAGTAAGAATTTTAATCTGAAAATTACACTTGGTCTTAATATGTCAAATATTATAAATTATATTTTTGTTGTACATATCATCATTAAAACTGTATTTCTGAATGTAAAGGGACTTGAACATTTTTCGAATTAGGAGCTAGATTTTATTAAATAGGATAGCCATAATTGATTGCATAGGCTTCTCCACAATTTTTCACTAGTTCCTGAATTATTTTATACCTCATAAAAATCGTATCTATTTTTTAATGTATTACATAAGAAATTACCTTCAGGTGACTGGATATGTAATACTCAGTTAATCTTCACTTACCATGTCTGTTAAAAAGAAAATGCAGATTGAAGATCCAGGTGGATCAAAGTGCAGTGAGAAAAGGAAGGTCATATTTTTAGTATACATGTAACAGTAAGAAACGAGTTGTTCTCAGTGAAGTAATTTGGGTAACTTACAAATGACTAAAACAGCATTTTTGGAAGATATGTACTCACAGGTTTCTTTAATTTCTTCCTAAAGTAGTCATATTTCTGCTTAAATTCTCTGGAGTAAGGAACAGCCTGGAAGACAAATGTATAAATATAGATAATATGAACAACATGTTTGAAATTTTATGGGTACTAAGCCAACGTTCAGAAAATTTCATGAATCATGAACCTTAAAATCATCACTCTCCACATAACCACAGAAATTTACATAATGTCTATGTAGCACATGCAAACGTTCTAGAAATGATTAAGGTTAATCAGCACTGAATAGGGCTTTCACCCCTGAAAACAACAATACAGATATTCAAGAAATCATTTAGAGGTATTATACATAAACTGAATAGACTTTCCATGTGACTTCTGTCTGAATATGCATCAGGGTACATGGTATAGTTGTAGTTTAGGTAAGTTATTGGCTATCATACTTTAACACACAACTCCAAATGACCTACACTGTCGTCCAGAAAAGACTAATTGTGCTTTAAAAATCTTTGGGAGACGAATAGCCAAAGCAATCTTGAGAAGGAGAAACGGAGCTGGAGGAATCAGACTCCTACACTTGAGACTATATTACAAAGCTACAGTAATCAAGACAGTAAGGTACTGGCACAAAAACAGAAATACAGATCAATGGAACAGGATAGAAAGCCCAGAGATAAACCCACACACATATGGTCACCTTTGATAAAGGAGGCAAGAATATATAATAGCGAAAAGGCAGCCTCTTCAACAAGTGGTGCTGGGAGAACTGGACAGCTACATGTAAAAGAATGAAATTGGAACACTCCCTAACACCATACACAAAAATAAACTCAAAATGGATTAAAGACCTAAATGTAAGGCCAGACACTATAAAACTCTTAGAGGAAAACATAGGCAGAATACTGTACGACATAAATCACAGCAAGATCCTTTTTGACCCCCCTCCTAGAGAAATGGAAATAAAAACAAAAATAAACAAATGGGACCTAATGAAACTTAAAAGCTTTTGCATAGCAAAGAAAACCATAAATAAAACGAAAAGACAACCCTCAGAATGTGAGAAAATATTTGCAAATGAAGCAACTGACAAAGAATTAATCTCCAACATTTACAAGCAGCTCATGCAGCTCAATATCAAAAAACCAACCCAATCCAAAAACAGGCAGAAGACCTAACTAGACATTGCTCCACAGAAGATACACAGATTGCCAACAAACACATGAAAGGATGCTCAACATCACTAATCACTAGAGAAATGCAAATCAAAACTGCAATGAGGTATCACCTCACACCAGTGAGAATGGCCATCATCAAAAAATCTACAAACAATAAATGCTGGAGAGGGTGTGGAGAAAAGGGAACCCTCTGGCACTGTTGGCGGGAATGTAAATTGATACAGCCACTATGGAGAACAGTATGGAGGTTCCTTAAAAAACTAAAAATAGAACTACCATACGACCCAGCAATCCCACTACTGGGCATATACCCTGAGAAAACCGTAATTCAAAAAGACACATGCACCCCAATGTTCACTGCAGTACTATTTACAATAGCCAGGACACGGAAGCAACCTAAGTGTCCATCGACAGATGAATGGATAAAGAAGATGTGGCACATATATACAATGGAATATTACTCAGCCATAAAAAGAAATGAAATTGAGTTATTTGTAGTGAGGTGGATGGACCTAGAGTCTGTCATACAGAGTGAAGTAAGTCAGAAAAAGAAAAAATACCGTATGCTAACACATATATATGGAATCTAAAAAAGAAAAAATCAAAATTGGTTCTGAAGAACCTAGGGGCAGGATAGGAATAAGGATGCAGACATAGAGAATGGACTTGAGGACACGGGGAGGGGGAAGGGTAAACTGGGACAAACTGAGAGAGTGGCATGGACATGTATACACTACCAAATGTAAAACAGATAGCTAGTGGGAAGCAGCCACATGGCACAGGGAGATCAGCTCAGCTCGGTGCTTTGTGACCACCTAGAGGGGTGGGATAGGGAGGGTGGCAGGGAGACGCAAAAGGGAGGGGATATGGGATATGTGTATACATATAGCTGATTCACTTTGTTATACAGCAGAAACTAACACAACATTGTAAAGAAATAATACTCCAATAAAAATGTTAAAAAAAAATCTCTGGGAGAAAAGCAACAAGCAGAAAGGCAAGCGAACTGATACACTTGTCAAGGAAAAAAACTGGGTAAACAGCATGTTGGAAAAGTCCTCATTTTAGGAGTTGACTATTTAGAGGTCGTGGGCAAGGATTTCTTTAAATCTGGAATGCTGTATCTATGGAGCAGAGTGATGATACCACAGGAGTGAGCTCAGTAACTGAGCTAACATTATTCATAAGTTCTGGAATCTCTTCAGGCAAAGTAATTACATTTTTATATAGTCATTTAAATATTCGGTACCTGCTATGATGTCAAGTAGCTTACAGTGTCCGAGAGTCGGAGCTGTGACTTCAGGCGATGGAAAAGGCTTACAATTTTTTTATGAAGCAGAAAGGATTGCTTATGCACGCACCTGGATGTAACTGTGACAGCCTCACAGTCAGAACAACTCGTTGCTTTTTAGCACATACTGTGAATTTGGGCAAGAATACTTCTGCTGATATCATTTTGTGCTACATTAATAAAATATGCTGATCCTTTGCAAAGTGTCTCCAGCCTCGAAACCTTACACCTTCACCATGCTTACTCCTGACAGGAAAGAGGAGACATGAAGAACAAAAGCTTCCTCCCTTCATACTGTTTTAAGACGTGGTCATACAAATAATAAGTAAGGCAAAACAAAAACATGTTGCTGGGAGGGAGACGCAAGAGGGAAGAGATATGGGAACATATGTATATGTATAACTGATTCACTTTGTTATAAAGCAGAAACTAACACACCATTGTAAAGCAATTATACCCCAAAAAAGATGTTAAAAAAAAAAAAGTTACCACTCTCATAGAAAACAATGATCATGTCAGTATTTTGCTTTGTAATTCAAGAGCAAAAGACAACATATTTAAGTATCTTAAGAACATTCTAAAGACAATACTACCTACGGTCTGTTCTTAGTTTTTAATTTTTAAGCGAGTCTTCATGTGCCTCTTCACTAAACATTAGATTTGACTACATATCATATTTTTTTTGGGCAGTGTTTAGTCTGATGAAACACTGTAAGAATTCTGATTCCAGAAAAGGTAGACATTTTATCACTATCTGGACAACCACCAACCTAAGGAAAAGGATACAATGGTCTGACATAAGCCAATAAAGGCATTATCATGCTTTTTGCTCTGTAGCTTTTTTAGAAGCTGTTGTGAGCAATAGGCAATAAGAAATAAATGAATACATAGTGGTAAACGCTAGGTGGAAAAATGATAGAGATCCTCAGTGGCTGTTTTACATGAGATGGTTGGGGAAGGCAGCTCTGAGGAAGGGAAACCTGAGCAGAAACCAGAATGACAGGAGGGAACAAACCATGACAGGAACAGTGAGTTCTCAAAAGAGGAAAAGGATTTGATGTTCTTAGCTATGATTAACTGTAATAGAAGAAAATTAAGCTGAAAAAAAAAAAAGATTTCCTTTTATTATCTCATGCCAGCTTCAGAAGACATGACTTCCAGGGCAGACTCGACTGCCAGCTAGCTCTGTGATATAACTTCTCCACTCCGGAATTCCTTTACAGTTAAGCAGAAAGACTTGACTAGTCAAATTTTAAGGCTCTTCCCTTTCTAAAAATCTGTGATTCCCAGCAATTACTTTTTGTTTTTGTTTCCCTGCCTGAAAACATTGAAAAAAGGGTTAAACATTCATCACTGTGAATGCAAGTTCAACTGTCTTAAATGACAAGTTTCCCAAGGAATCTATTTCAAAGTGTTGTCCCCCGCCCATGGTATCTCTGCCTTTGTCTGGCGTGTAACCTGGTGGGTGCTGACTAGATGTCGGTGGAAATCAGTACTGAGATATTTCTGGTCTTTCTTCTTCTGGGGAATGATGCATGAAAGTTGAGAAATACCCCTCCTCCTCCAATACTCATCTTTTCTCTCTAGGGGTCGTTCTTACGATGGCCTAAGAAGAGTAGGTTTTTATATTCTTCTCCTGAAAAGATTCCAACAACATACCAGGATAAAGACATCCATACGTTGCAGCCTCTGAAGAGAATTACATTTCTGCATTGGACAGGCCAAATTATTTATTCTCTCTTGAAAATCTGGCATCTTATTTTCTTACATGCAATATAATGTGTAAAATAAGCTATTTAAAGAATTAACATATCTGTTGATTAAAGTTGCTCTCTATTAAATATGCTTTCTTTTTTGAACAAAGTGAAAACCTGACATTGTGTAAGTGGGGTCTAAAGGTTTTCATGCCATTATTGTCCATTACGGACACCAGAGCTCCTTGCGGAGAAGGGCTCAGGCCTGACACGGAGACGTCGGTAATTCCAGCACATCTGGGGCTCTGGCCTGGATTCTGACATGTGCCAAACTTTTGGCAATTAGCTTTCTGAGCTGCTGACAAATTGGGAATCCCAACTTCTTCCCTACCATACTGAGAGGATGGCTGTGAGTTTCAAAGCAGTTGATTATAAAGTTCTTGAATAAGTATGAAGTGTTACACAAGCATGAGATAGTGTTCTTGAGTAGCAACTACAAATAGCACTTCATGTTTCTAATGCTTTTAATGGTGATGCTCGTCATACAGAGAGCATACTGACTCACAGTGATGCCACAGAAGGGTCCCCTCTCCCCTAATATGTAGGAACTTTTAAAACTTGGGGAAAAAACTCTAGGTACCAGATATGCAGAAAGACAAAATTAAAGAAGTGGGCTTTGGACCTAGACTTGTGGCTTGGGCTTGGGTTTTTAATCCTCACATGGGGACACAGAGCACGGCCTACAGTCTGTATGACCAGGGGAGTCAGACAGAGCTCCCTGCTTAAGACCTACATCTGAACAGGGTTCAAGAAAATTCTACCCACAGGCCTGGGAGAGTTGCAAGGAAGCTTCCCTTCTATCCAGGATGGGAACCGGAAGAAAAACAAACAAAAAAACCAGACCTCTAATAAATTCAGACTCCCAAGCCTACACCAACGTAGGTAGGAGGTCCATAGTTATAGTAACTAAGGGGGCATAAACCCAAGCTAAGAAGTTAACAGTAAATACAAGTCAGGATGTATAAAAGCTCCATAAAGAAAAAAAATGAAGATGAGCACACACACACTTAAAAACACAAAATTATAAACTGAACTAGGCAATCAACTACCACTGAGGAGAGTCTACAGACATAACAAGTGGGAGATTTAATGCCCCTAGAAGCAGAGATAATAAAATAATCTAGAAGAGGCGCTGGAACAAATATTTTAAGAATGATTAAAAAGCTGTAAGTACGAATAGAAAAATAAATAAAAGGGAAGAACAGGACCAAATAACAATAACTAAAAAGACCAAGCAAATTGAAAAAGACCAAAGAGAACTTTGAGCAATTAAATCCAGTCACTGAAATAATAGACACAATGAACTGATAGAGTAGATTATAAAAAGCTTAAAAGATAATTAACTGGAAGAGCTGAGCCCACAATACAGCAATGAGAAAGAAGATGGGAAAGCTAAAAGATAAGGGAGACAGAATGTAAAAGTGAGTCAAATACCCAACAGGAGTTACTGATGCAGATAATAAAAATGGGAAAGGTACAGTATGTGAAGAAATAACTGCAGGGAATTTTCCTGAATAAAGGAGAGACACCATCCCCATATGGAAGAGTCACAATGAATCCAGAGTGGAATAAATAAACTGTAGAAAATCAAAGACACGGAGAAAAATTCAAAATCACCAGAGAAGAGAGATTTACTCACCAAAAAAATGACAATCAGAGTGACAACGAACTTCTCATCATCAGTTATGGAGGCCGGAAGAGACAAAAAAAAAAGTCTCCAAAGTACTGAAGGAAAGAAATTGTTGACTAAGGAGTCTATAATCAGCTAAACTATCATTTAACAGAGAGGTCGGTAAGCGCCCCCCCCCTCAGACCCTCACTGAAATTGCCGCCAGAGAAGAGGTTCTCAAACTTGAGTCAGCCTCAGAATCCCTGGGAGCATATGTTAAAACACAGACTGCAGGGCCCACAACCAAAGTTGCTGATTTTCAGTAGGTCCGGGTTGGGAGCCCCAAATTTACATGTCTAGTAAGTTTCTGAATGATGCTGTTGATCTATAGGCCACAATTTGAGAACCATGAACTAGAGATTAAACTTTATTACGGAGAAAACTTAACCTGGAGAAAAGTAGATGCAAGAACCAATGGTGGGGACGTGGAAGCAACCGAAGTGTCCATCGACAGATGAATGGATAAAGAAGATGTGGCACATACATATAACGGAATATTACTCAGCCATGAAAAGAAACGAAATTGCGTTATTTGTAGTGAGGTGAAGGACCTAGAGACTGTCATACGGAGTGAAGTAAGTCAGAAAGAGAAAAACAAATACCGTATGCTAACACATATATATGGAATCTAAGAAAAAAATGGGTTCTGAAGAACCTAGGGGCAGGACAGGAATAAAGGCGCAGACGTAGAGAATGCACTTGAGGACATGGGGAGGGAGAAGGGTAAGCTGGGATGAAGTGAGAGAGTGGCATGGACATATATACACTACGAAATGTAAAACAGATAGGTAGTGGGAAGCAGCCACATAGCACAGGGAGATCAGCTCAGTGCTTTGTGACCACCTAGAGGGGTGGGATAGGGAGGGTGGGAGGGAGACAGAAGAGGGAGGAGATATGGGGATATATGTATATGTACAGCTGATTCACTCTGTTATACAGCAGAAACTAACACACCATTGCAAAGCAATTATACTCCAATAAAGATGTTAGAAAAAAAAGAACAATGGTGGGCAAAGGAATTCGTTTACATGTAAGTAAATTAAACAAGCATTGACTGTTGAAAAAAAGAGAAAATATTAATGATTATTTGGCAAGTTTAAAGACAAGGTAGTTTTAAAATTCCACTGAACAATGGAAAGTAGGAGTGGGAAGAACAGCACTGAAGTTCCCCGAAGTCGTATATTATCCAGGAAAAGAGAGGGATTAATTTTGACAAAGGTCAAGTATATTGGTTAAAAATTTTAATGTGAGCACCAAAAGAACAGAAATAGAAAATACAACGTCCAAGCAAGTATAGCAAATGAAAGAAAATAAAGAGTACTCTATCAGTCCAACAGAAAACAAGAAAAAAGATAAAACAGAGATAGTTAAAGGACAGAAAAGATATACTAGGCAAGTACTAGTGAAGAGAAAGTGAACATAATGACTGACAAAGCCACAGTCACCATGGGAGATGTGCTGACCCAGCTGACTCGGTTAGATAAAGAAAAGCCAGGAAAAATGGTGTCATGGAAATGGAAAATTTGAACACCATAGGCCTGATGTAACAGACATATATAAAGAACTCTATACCCAGCAAAGACAGAATACACATTCTTTTCAAACACAAAAAGAACATTAACAAAAAATGGCCAAGCCTCCAAAGACGTTTCAAATGTCTGATAATATTCCATAGACAATGTTATATGACCACAATGCAATAAAATCAGAAATCAGTAAGAAACAGGTAAAAACCGTCTCATACTCTCAGAAACTAAAAAGCATATTCTAAATGATTTGTAAGTTAAGGACAGAAAGAAATCATTATGGAAATTACCAAAAATTTAGAACTGAATTAAAACTAAGACAAAGTATCTACACTAAGGTAATAATTACCTAAATACACATGCTCTTATTGAAAGAAATACTACCAATAATAAAAAAAAGAGTGAACAAGGCTCTTTTGTTAGTAGAAAACAAAGAAAGAGCTTTCTTCAGGGCAAATCTACCTAGATTTATGATGCTAAATAATTTTCAACAGTAATTATAAAAACTAACAGTGTTGCATGAAGACAGATGATCAATAAGCAATAGAAATATTTGAAAAGGCTTCATCATTGTCAAAAGTCTTCTGTTGCTTGAAAACAGCATCGTTTCTTTAATTTACCTTGTTTCTCATGATGGAGAAGAGAAAATACTACTCTAACTTATTGTGACTGTGAATGTAACAAAAGGAGCTGTGGTAGTGAAGCAGGTGTTTGTTAAGCTACATGCAGAGGAGCTGACGCCTGTTCTGACCCATGTGGCATTGGGCACTTCGCATCAACCGCTAAGCAAAGCAGCTGGACAAATCCAAATCCAACAGGTAACTAAAGGGATGTCAGGTATCAAGGTGCGTTTGCACTGTGTTATCTATCAAGTTTTCAAATGGACCTATAATTCAAAATGTAATTTGAACCAAATCAGATTAAAGCCACAAAATTAGTATTTTAAATATACCTATTGGTGTCTTAGCTCAGCACTTGATATAACAAACTTCCCTTCCTTTAGCTCCTCCAGTTATTAAAAGATTCCCCAATTTGCAATCTTCTGCTCATCCCAGTACAGTTCCTGCAATTGCAGAGTCTCTCCTTGAACTCATGTAACCACTGACAAAAGACCCTGGAGTATTCCACAGACTCCTTTCAGGTGTTTGATACCAGGTGCCTGCTGACCAGTGCCAGGGTGTCACTCTTCCTTATGAACACACATAAGGGGACTATGAGAAAGTTAGTGGGTCAGCAGAGATAAGATTCTTAACTGCCAGTTCTGGAGTGCAGCTACCCCCTCACCCAAACCTTTGCAGAGTTTTAGAGCCGGAAGAGATTCCGGATCCAATTTAAATTTGTTAGCATACATATACTACCCTTGGCCTCAAGAAACGTTAAAACTCTACAAATACAGGACAAAGTTTTGCTTCATATAAAAAGGAAGAGAGGGGGGCTTCCCTGCTGGCGCAGTGGTTGGGAGTCCGCCTGCCGATGCAGGGGACGCGGGTTCGTGCCCCAGTCCGGGAGGATCCCACATGCCGCAGAGCGGCTGGGCCCGTGAGCCATGGCCGCTGAGCCTGCGTGTCCGGAGCCTGTGCTCCGCAGCGGGAGAGGACACAACAGTGAGAGGCCCGCATACCGCAAAAAAAAAAAAAAGAAAGAGAGGACATTTTGTTTGTTCCTTTATATTGAAAGCCCTGTGAAAAGGCAAATGTAGCTGTACCTCACCCAGAAATTCCGGGAAGGAGGAGACGGGAGTAATGCTAAATTTCTCAAGGACACCAGTCAGGCCCTTGGCATCAAGGTAAGCAGGAATATACAAGAAATGTGTGTTTAGATGAAACCAAAATATTATACTGAAGAGTCAGAACTTGAGAATACTAACCGGACCAGTAATAGCTGGATTCTGCAGTCTTGGGTCTTCCCACTGAGTAATTTTGCTATCTGGAAATATTTAAAAACAAACACAGAAGCCGGCTTATTAGTTCAATCTATTTCATGTCCAAAATGTTTTAGAAAGAATTATTTCTGGATTTTCCAAAAGTTCCCCCAGTTCCCCATCCTGACTCCCAAGGATAAATAACTTAGTATTTCAGGGTTAGAAGAGAACTATACTCTGTAAGGCAATCTGCACCGCAGCCCCCCATACTGTTTAGTTAAAAACAATCAAAAATGCACAACTAAAGTAAAACCATCTACTCACACTGTTTTGGGCAAGCAATCTGCTGAAATTTCAATTATAAACCCCTGTACCTTCAAGGATTTATAACTTGAGGTTGATTTTCATTTAATTAAAGAAAAGCATAAAAGATTTTAGTTCCCCAAAAGTTAACACACACACATGATTTTTTTCTCATTTCAAATACTCTTTCCTTTGCTTATGGTGTTGCAAACGGCTTTCAATTAAAAAGCTTAAGTTGAACAAATGAATAATCCATGACATGTGTCACTCATATGCACACAAAAATCAAAACAGCTAAGGCAGTCCAAAAAATGAGAATTAGATGCAGCAGAGGAGGATTCCAGAGAAAAGGTTCCCTTTTGGTCAAGCTGGTGAGAAGTGGTTCTTTCTTCCAAATGAGTCAACGTCAATAAGATTAGTAAAGGTCACCTATACCACTGCTTCAATGGTGTAGGTGGAAACACACATTAGCTACCTGGGTCACTTGGGATTTGTGACTGTGCCTTACTTAAAAAGACTTTATGCTACTGTGTGTATATATGGGGGGGCGCAGGAATGAACTCACACGAAAGATATGGGGAGGGTAGACGGGGAAGAATAGGTTTCTCTCTGGAGTGTTAGGAAATCTAAGCTGGTTTGTAAAAAAGGAAATGATCTGTTTGAGAAGAACAGTCTGTTTTTTTCTGGTATACTTCGTAAGTGGACTGATAAGAATAACTAATAAATTTGGTTTTAATGACTATCCCAGGAATTTTTCGAAGTCTGGTATGATAATTATTTTAACAAAAGCAGTGGTAAAGTTTTAAAATTAAGCTACCAAAGCACATGACGATTCTAGATTCACGCTGGCAGAAAAGTTACAAGAACTGTTTCGACTGTTTCAGAGAACGCTGAAGGACGAAGCAAAAGGTATTTTTGGGTCCCTTACTTTGAAGACAGAAGTTTTTGGAAATTAAGAGCTGTTGCTGTGATGCAAAACAGGAGAAAAGGAAATAAAAGAAAAAGAACATAGCTGAGTAAAAACTGCCTTAGACTATAGATAGACTGGGTACCATCATCAAACCAGAAAAGAAATTACCTGCTACCTCCATATGATGACCCCCACATCTGTCCAAACCAGAACCTCAAGCTCCATCCTTGACACCTGCACCTGGATGTCCCCTGGGAAACACCTCAAACCCTCCTCTGCCAGAAGTTGACCCATAATCCTCCACTACCAGAATGGCTCATACAGCCCTGGATTCCTTATTAACAGCACCACAGTCCGTCCGTCCACTGTTCAGGTCCGGCACCTGCCATACCCTCCATCCTCGCTTACCTTTCACTCCGGTGGTCACCACCTGTCCCCACCTCTCTGAAAAGGCTTCTTTCCCGAGCGCTCATCTTCTCCCCGGACTACTCTCTAGGTCTCCCTGGCCTCAGTCTCACTCACCCCCGTTCAAAACTTCCTTTGAAGCTCTCACCCCCGGGCCGAGGGCCCGCGAGCGAAGCCTCACCTGCGGCTCCCCAGCGCTCGCAGCACCCCCGAACCACCCCTCCTCCCCCACCCCCATCCGTGGGAAAACTGTCTTCCACAAGGCAGGACCCTGGTGCCAAAAAGGCTGGGGACGCCTGCTCTAGAGCACAAACCTGACCGCGTCAGACTCCCTTCTGCACCATCCCTTAGGCGCTCCCGCCTGGCTGCGGAAGGGACCCGAGTCCCCATACCAGCAGACTCCCTTTGACTTAACGCGGTGCCACGCCAGCCTCATCTGCACACCGGCCGTCTGCAATCCCACTGCGCTCCTCTGAACACGGTGTCACCTGCACGGCTTCACACACCTGCGCACGCTCTCTCCCTCCTAGAATTGCTCTTTGCTGGGCGTGCCTGGCTAAACCTCACTCATTATTTGGGATCCACCTGAAAAGTTCTACAAGGCTCTTTTGCAGTCTTCTTCCACTGCTGGAGCCCACACACTGAGCAAGTATTTCTACGTAACAATTGGTTCACTCCCCTAAGACAACACTTAAATACCTCCTGGCACTCCCTACTAGAACCTAAGCCCCTTGAGGACCAGAACTGTGTGCTGTTCATCTCCACAGCCCCCTCTCCACCACTTAACACATTTCCCAGCATGTAGCAGGAGCCTGACTTTTTAAATGACCAAATGAAGCTGATGGCGAAAACAAGATTCTTTTTAAAACAGTCTAGGCTTTCAGAAGCACATGATTACAATAATGATCAATTTTGCACTTAAGAATTATCGACATATGACTGTCGGTGGCCAGTTACCCATTTTGTCCTAAAACTTTTGAATCTAAACTTGCTTTTTGTCTTTGAGACATAATATTTGAAATAAAGGGGCGAGAATGAAGTAGAAGAATAAAAAACTCAGTCCATTTAGCTACTATTAACAGGTTTGGTAAGACTGCTGGCAGGAAAGATTAAAACAGGATCTTACAGCATCCCTGGAATTTTATTTTCTAGCTTTGTATATAAACTGCCTGTGGTCAAGTACTCAGTGGCTGGGCATATCGGGTCTTTAAGAAGAACTACGCTATTCCTAAGGGAGGTAGGGATTCAGTTCAAGACCTTCCCATAGCCTTTGACACCAGGCTTGAGACATAGGAGCTTTTTGATAAATGTCAATCAAATGAATCTAGAAGTCTAAAGGGCAGATTAGTATTGAGCATTCATGCTCTTCTGAAATTAAATCTTTAACATCTTTAACCTTGAAAATGTCTCACTTCTCAAGAATTTATGAAGCAGAAAATTAAAAAAACCTAACGAATTAGGAGACAAGCGCACTGCTGCCTTTTATATTCGGTGTGCAGTCACATGCCCCAGCGAAGTGGAAGACGGATGACTGAGCACCTTACAAGATGGCTGCTTTCACGGTCAAATGGTGTAGTAGGGATGGCCTGGCTTCTGTCCTGCAGGCAGCAGGAGAGCAAAATGAGATGCTGAATTTTGCTAGAAATAAGATTTGGGAAAAATGTTTAGAAGCAGAGGCTCGTTCGGAAGGTAAGGAAATTCCAGGTAATGAAACCCATTTTGGAGTGGGTTTGAGTACCTGATACAGCGTCTTAAAAAAGACAGATATGCTTCATTTTTCACAGACTGGAATTTGTTTTTTTAAAAAAGGCATATAAATTGAACTCTGTTTCACTGATATGTACACTGCTCTATTGCTTTCCACTGAATAAACCTTGATGAATTAGGGAGACCTGGCAGAAATGTTACATTGTCAGCTAATGAAGGAGGCTCTCCTAAACAGACCTTTTTCTTACACAGTCTTTGGTCATTTAATTTACACTGTATTTGGTTAAGAGAACTTTTCAGTAGAGTTGAGCAAAGGCAGATTTTAATCTCCACGTGAAGGATCACAGATCTCACACTGGCATAGCTCAGATCAACAAGGCTCTGTACGTGGTCTATATCCTATCATTTGATTCCCAGGAGTGAAGGGGGGGAGCCGCCCAAGTGCTGTGTGGTCTGGAAAAGAGGAATGGGGGATGTCTGAGAGGAGCTTGGAGGGACTGATTAGGAATAAGGGAAACACCCAGGCATTTAGCAAGGAACCACCCTTTCCCATCGCCTGGAAAACAGGAGCTGGGCAGGCCTGAGGCTGGAGGCAGGGCTGCTGTTGCCTCTCAAGGCAGGTTCTCTCCACTTTCCAACCAAGGGCATCAACTTCCTAACACAACACCGGCACCACTGGCCCTCCGTGAATGGACTCCGAGTCACCATTTAACAAGCGTTTACCGCATACTACACTAGGTCTATGCACGCCTACAGAGGAACAGTCCATGATTTTTCTAATTTCTAATGTATACTAGGATGGCCCTTTGCAATCGTGTTTTTCTTGTTTCTGGGTCCTTACAGTACATCAAGAACATCTCATAAAGCTGTTTTTCAGGTTGACCTGACATCACACCACCAGCCGGAACATGGCCACAATGTTGTGTGAAGTACTCTCCGTGTGGCGGACCAAGGCTGTGTTACCGGTTAAGACCTTCCTTTAATAAAATGCTCATTATTACTCGTACCTCTCTTTGAAAACTGAAATTGTAATGCATGAAAAAACTGAAAAGGAAACTTTTGTTTTTAGTGGGAAAAAGGCAGTGTGACTCCTCTTCCATTTCGGCAAATTCTGCTGAGAAAGAGAATTATAACTAGCACAGGCAGGAAGGAAGTGGGGGTACCCGCATATGGTAAAGCATTTATGGCAGCAGTTCTATGCTCACTGTAAAATTCTGGAACGTAGGCAAGAATCAGCATTTTCACTGGTCGAAGACAAAAACTAGGCCTATGTACTTTGAACTATCTAATTTTAAGCAAGGGTAACCCACACCCCTAAATACACCCAGGACTCCTACTTTTGGTTTAATTCTGAATTGTTGGGCTTCTTGCTTACTTCGATTTCTAAAAACCCCTCAATCTCCCGTGCCTGCAAGCGAAGGTGTCTCTACCATGCACTGGTCGCTTAGGAACCCAGGAAGAGGCCCTGAAATGAGAGACAGTGACAGGCCCCACCCACATGAGGACACCTCGAGGCTACGCTTCCCGGTCAGCTTAGCAACATGCTTAACTAACCAATGCAATCAGTTAAGAAAACGTGAGGCTGGGAAAGCCGGTGTAGACTTAATGCTCATGTTTATGAACCAAATGAAAACAAAGATAAATATATTCCACCAGATCACACGCATATGTGAACTTTAAATCTACTTGAAGACTTCTTTTCAATATACATTTTGAGAAGTTTTAAGGGATATATTAATATGATCCCATGGAGAAAATGTCACTTCAACAAGGGGGAAAAAAAAAAAACAACAACACTGGCTAAAAGCAAACCTTTATTAGTTTAACTTTTAGTTGGCATGAGAAACCACACATTTATTCATAGGAGCTGGAGCAAATGTCTGCAGCAAATATAATTTCAAGAAAAGAACTGCACATGTATTAGTGTGTTGGGTGCAGGGAAACATGCTGTGAATAGAAAATAAGTCAGAATGGGCGTCTTGCCCTGAGACCTCTGGAGGCAGCTTTTAAAAAACGTAGCGGCTGCTTCAAGCACTGCTCATACACAGATTTCTGACATAATCATCACTTCTAATCTTATTTTCTATTACCAGAGTGTATTTATTAAAAGCGCAAAAGTCAAGGGGTCATCAATCAAAAAAAATTTTTTTAATTAAAAAAAACAGTTAATAGGTCACAAGGTCAAACTGGAATGGGCTACTTTAAAGCAAACTGGGGTGAATGCACAGTACCGTACGAGGGCACTGAGTCTCTGGTATCATCCTCGCCACATAACACCTGGCTGCCTAGACAAACAGTAAAATGACACAGCTTTCACTGTCATATCTGAATTACCCTCATCCTCCCTTCACCTGCAACACCTATGCGTCCGTAACAGCACCTACTTACTATGATCAATGTAAAACGTTCGGCCATCCAAGTGAATTCTTTCTTCCCAACCAGGCTGGTATCAGGGGAAGAGAGGAAGAGAAGACAAACATTAGCCAGCAGTTCCAAAATCAAAGGCAAAAGGTAAAGACTCTAGGACACCTCCTCCTTACTCTTCTCCCCTGGGGTACATTTTTACATAAAGAATGAACTAAATAGAAACATTTCAAATGAACTCACTCAAATGACAACACCCAGCAACACACTTTAGCACATGTTCTACAGTCTCAGATGCACTCACTGTATGATGAACAAGAAAAACAGGGGTTATTATTTCAAAAGCTTCAAAGGGAAACCCCAGCACACTGTGAAACAGTTGAGCCTGGGGCTGAATAGCTCATTTAATTAAATGAGTCTTTATTGAGTACTAAAGGGAGGATGGAGGGTGATATAAAATGTGAGAGACTGACGCTTTACTCATGTCGTCAGGTGGTTGAACAATCGAATACGGAAATCCTCTGCTGTGAACTCTCACTACTCAGGAACCAGACTTGGATAATTTTTCCAAGATCAGGCTGGTATGCTTTCATGATCTGAACTGTGCCTACTTGTTACCTGAAAGTCAAGAATCCAACAGATCTAGACAACCTGCAGTCTTCCACTTACTAAACTCTCTCTCCAGTCTCTCCCCAGGCTCCTTCCATCTAAACCCCGGAACCAAATATTTGGAGGGTGTGGGGTATTTGTATAACCTGATGAATAAAGACTGCACCCTAATCTTTCTAGCTTCAAATTTTGCTGTAATATACCATACACCAGGCAACAGAAAGGTTCTTGGAAAACAAACACCCAAAGAATTCCCAGCACCCTTCCATTTCCATCCCACCTTTCTAGCCTGTAAGGGTTTTTAAAAAACTGGGGGTGGGTCCACACGAAAGCATGTGTGAAGGTTCCATTCAAAATCTAACTTGGAGTAAATAGCTTGACTCTCACTCAGGCCCCAAAAGAGAACAAACTAATAAAAAATTAGATTGTTAAACAGTCACTGACAAGGGAGAAAAATTTAAAACATCTGCTGGATAACTGACTTATAGAAACCTTCTGTGATTACGTACGCCCTTTTCTTCCACTTTTTAAAAAATTTTTTGTTCCTATGATTAAATCAGCAAGCAATATGGATGGAAATTAGCTGGTTGCTAAGTTACAAAATAAATGTGTGCTGCTGAAACTGTCACCTGTAGAGAATGCCTCGTCCATCATCCTAGTTGCAAGGTCTACCTTTCACTAGCAGTCAGCCATTCAGAAACCTCTTTCAGAAGAGCTAGGTGTGGTGTGAACTGTAGCTATCAGTTCAGTCATACACCCGATTCTATTAAGAAATGACAGACCAAGGGGACTCAAAACGCCTGGAGAAGGAGAAGGTCACAGGGCTTCCCTATCAACACTGGGCCCATGAATGAGTAAACATTTTCAGACTGGTCCGTGTGTCTCCAGTGTACTCACAGGAAGAGGGCCAAGGTCATTGGGGTTTAAAGATGCCTTTGACCGCATATGCACTGGAAATTTCAGGCGTGGGTCTTCCTGCAAGAAAAATGTAAGAGGCAGATGTTAGGAGTGATCTCTGTGAGCGGTACTGGTCCTCCCCTTCTGGAGGTGTGTGTTCCACAGCAAGCAGGTCGCCTGTGTGTTTGGGGGGGGGGCTGCTGCAGTGGGGAGTGGAGGACCCCACCTCCGTACAGGAGGCCTGGCTGACCATCTCTCCAAAAAGATTCTACTCTTCCTCCTTGAACTTGATGAAAGGAGGAGAGTAAGAATGCTTAAGTAAAAGGTTAACCATTTCCCCAAGACCCTGAGCAGGTGAAGAGGAAGAGGGTTCCAGCAGTGACGCTATCATGGAGACCAGAGTAGAGGATGCCAGTGAAGATAAGGAGGATCTACTCCACAGAGAGGGAGTGAGGACACGGTCGGACAGCTCCCTGTGGACCCTGAGTTAGGGCTGAGGGCAGCTAGCCTGTTAGAAACACCCATTCCATCAGCACTTGCATCTGCTGTTGCTCCCTTCCACCCTCTCTTGAGCCAAAGCCGAAAATCTGAATCTGGTTTGACTGTCCAGGCACGTCCTGCCCCAGAGTTAGTCGGCAACATCACAGAGTGGCATCCCGATGAGAGAACTTTACTGGGATTCTTGATCAAGTTCCACAAATTAGATCTTAAAAGTTTAGGGCTTCCCTGGTGGCACAGTGGTTGAGAGTCCGCCTGCCAATGCAGGGGACACGGGTTCGTGCCCCGGTCCGGGAAGATCCCACATGCCGCGGAGCGGCTGGGCCCGTGAGCCATGGCCGCTGAGCCTGCGCGTCCGGAGCCTGTGCTCCGCAACGGGAGAGGCCGCAACAGGGAGAGGCCCGCGTACCGCAAACAAAACAAAACAAAACAAAAAGTTTACAAAATATTTTTCTTAAGGGATATGCTTCATAAGATACCACACAGAACCAATGACAGAAAAATACATACTCTGACATCTTGGGTCATGCTTTATAACTTACAAAGAACAGTCAGGTGTGTGATCTTGCAACCACCCTGTTATGGGGGTTGGATACGGAGTCTCACAGAGAATGAGAACTTGCCCAGAGGTTCTGGTTTACAGTCTGGCAGCTGTCTTTCACTTACACAGACCCAATTAAAATGCAGTGTAACTCAGAGAATCCCTATTTGAAACTCAAAAGATTAGAAAACAAAATGATAAAACTCAGAATAACACATTATTAACCAAAGAAGCCTAAGATAATAAAAAACAAAACAAAAAACTCCCTAAAACCTTAAAAAAAAACCCCTTTATTTCATTAATGTTAAAGCCTTTGTTGCTGTCAAACTACTAAAAGGTTTTCTGCCTCAGCATTTTCCCAAGTCAGCAAGAAAATGAAATCGTTGGTATAAAGCTGGGAAAATAAAAAAACTCACTTTTGTTTGGATATGAAATTACATATGATTATATACCAAGACTGTATTAAACATCTCCTAGATTACAGAGAGTGACAGCTAATGGCTATGGGGTTTTCTCTGGGGGTGATGCAAACGGCCTGAAACTGATTATGGTGATGGTTGCACACGTGTGATGGTCTAAGAATCATTCAGTTGTATTATTTTAAATGGGCGAACTGTATGGTATGTGCATTATACCTCGATAAAGCTTTAAAATTATTTTCCCCAAGTTAACAGTCTAAACCATTAGTATCAAGGGGTAGTAACAAAGTGATAGATTTCTGGAGCTGGCAAGAACGACAAGAATCATACGCATACAGATCAACCTTTGCTCATTAGAGGCATAAAATAGTCCAGTATTCTGTAGTATACTGGAACACCTACAGTGTAAACAGATATGCTAGGTAGATTTAGGATTTAGAAGGTCTAAAAAGCTGATAACCTGGTAAACATCTGTGACCGCTTGGCCATGGACCAAGGAAAACCTTAGAGCCCCGAACCCCACTAAAGCTACCTAAGGCCATGTCTGGGCTGGCCCAGGTAATGCCGCCACTGCAGGGGAAGCTTGGGCAGAGCACAGCCGCTGCTCACGCTGGGATGAGAGAAAGGCTGAGGCTGCTGTTCCACGGGTGAGGACAGGGGCTTCTGCATGCTGCGTGCGAGGCCGGCCATGCCTTGGAATCACACACACAGGCTACTGTGAAAGACAGTCGGCCCTTTTGGTAAAGAGCTGGTGATGGAAAGAAAAAAAAAAAAAGCTGAAATTAAAGAAAAGTGACAGGGGCGTAGGAGAAGGAGCATGAGGCATAAAGTAAATTCAGTTTCACAGGCCTGCTAACGTGGCCTTGCACGGAAACCCGGAATTCACAGAATGTGAGGGCTGGAGGCCCCTGGGGGTCACGTGATTTTATTATACCAACAAAAATCACAATAATGGCAGCAGCTGCCATCCATCAGGCTCTGCGGGCTGAGCTGGGGGGCAGCACGGAACCCAGCCTCCCCCGGAATCCCCTGAGTGACAGAGGGGCAGCTAGACGAGCGGAGAAGGGCAGCCAAGGCCCCACAGGACTTGGGACAGCTTTAGGAATGACAGTCAGCTGGAATCCTAATGAGGTCTCAAACGATACACATGTGAATGAGTGAAATACACAACACACTTGGCTGTTCCTCCCTTTCCTCAGCATAGTAGGAGCACTTCTTCGCAATTATACCAGTATTTCACAGCTGCTTCCCACAGTTACAGCTGAAAGCGTTTTTAAACAGAAGGCAAAGATCAACATCTTATTTAATTAAAAAAAAAAAAAAAAAAAAGAGGCTTTGGGGCTTCCCTGGTGGCGCAGTGGTTGAGGGTCCGCCTGCCGATGCAGGGGACGTGGGTTTGTCCCCCGGTCCGGGAAGATCCCACATGCCGCGGAGCGGCTGGGCCCGTGAGCCATGGCCGCTGAGCCTGCGCGTCCGGAGCCTGTTGCTCCGCAACGGGAGAGGCCACAACAGTGAGAGGCCTGCGAACCGCAAAAAAAAAAAAAAAGAAAAAAAGGCTTTGGGGACTTCCCTGATGGTCCTGTGGTTCAGACTCTGCGCTTCTAGTGCCGGGGGCGCGGGTTCGATCCCTGGTAGGGGAACTAAGATACCACATGCCGCTCAGCCCCCACCCCCCCCCAAAAAAAAGTTTCTTCGTGGAATCATTTAAAAATATATAAAATATGGGCATGCTAGCTAGCTGAAAAGACAACTGTGCTTTTTCGATCCTGGAAGGGAACAACCACCAGGGCTAGACTACAGTGAGTTTTATTAGTTTGGACCTGGGTAAAAAACAAACCTGAAACTTAATTGAGGTATAATCTTCGTTGCTACAAAAATAAGCCAAGGCTTTGTCCTATAAAAGACATAAATATACTCTTACACACATGCTTTGAGCTGCTTCCTCAGCAGAAGGAATGAATGCATGAGTTGCAGCCCTCCTGTAATCTCTCCCCAGCTCCCCGGTCTCTGCCGTGCATCCACAGCCCGCCTGATCCAGGTGGGGACAAAGTGATGCTCATCTGCTGTGTCAGACTTTATTCCTGATAGACGACTGGCACGCGGCCTCCATTATTTGTGTGTGCGAGAGGCCGTGTTTTATAAATAGACTTCAAAGGGAATTTTCCTCTATCAATGTATACGAGGGAAATGCTGGCCTGAACATTTTCCTGCTTCTGGTTAGTGCAGGAATCAAGAGGACACAGGGTGCTGGGGGAAGAAGTACAATTTTCATTATTCTCAACCTGTCTGACCAATTTGGTTTTTTTTCCTTTTCCTATGATAATGCTCAAATCGAAGAACAGCTGTTCTCTCTTATTTGTTCTCTCTTTAAAAAACAAAGCAAACCCCAAACGAAGTCAACACAGGTTTTAAGCCGAACATTATCTTTACAGTTCTCTCCATCCTTCCACCTTTTGTCAAAATAAACAAGCAATTTAGAGCCTGCGTTCCACAGCCAGAATTTTGTATGGGCCTTTGTGTAGCAGGGATAACGCGGCTGTGTCAGCACATCCGAGTTTAGAGGAGAAGCGTGGCGGTTTGTGGAATTCCCAGTTGTTACCTTAAGGATTTTCAACGACAGCGGCAGCAACAAAATGTTGTTTTAACCAATTAAAAATTTAAATCAGTGAATCACAAGTATCTGGTGGAAAGGGGCAATTAAAAATTGAAACTGGGTTTCACTCAGCACCAATGCAGGCAATAAATAAAGCTGGTGCTATTTTAAATAAAATCTGCCCAGCTGCAATTACACTGCAGTTGTGGTGTGAAAGGCTGTGAAAAGGTTAGGGGATTTGATTACTAAGCTAGTTCAAATGACTAAAATCATAGCTTATGTTGGCAAGCCACAGGGGCCGCACACACGAATCCAGCTCCTTTTACAATATTTACCCCCTATTTCTGGAGCTCCCATTCCTGGCTGAGGAACAGAGATCCCAGCAGTGCTGTAGTAAGTAGAAATGGGTACACCAGCAGGACTGCTACAGGTTCTCTGTCCACGAGGGAAAGAAGGTTTTCACACCAATCTCTCTCACTCTATTTCCCAAGGAGCGACCTATCTTTTACTACATGTTATCATATAGGCCTTAGCGGTAGTGACGCGTTTACCAAATGAATGTTACCAGATCTGGATGATAAATTCTCTTGGCAGGTTATTCCTTTACTTCAAAATTGGAGCGGCTCTCCCTACGGGGTGTTGGGAAATGCGTGGGAGCTTTTGGGTTGTCACTAGGATAGGGGTTGGGGGGGGCGGCGACAGTGGCTATTAGGATGCAGTGGCAGAAGCCAAGGATGTTAAACGTCTTGCAAATAACAGGCACAGTCCTGCCCCAAATGCTAAGATTGTCCTCATGAAGACACACTGTACCACGATCCATGAGGTCTGAGAGGGTCTGCTGGGCCATCGAATCCAATTCTCAAGGGACTGAATTACCATCACACCACGGGCAAAGTGTAAGTGACAGTCCAGACCATTTGGGTCCAGGTCTCTTCCTTAACACGATACTGCTGTTCTTTCAACTGGGTATACTTGGTGTCTACACTAGAAATGGGAATTTAAAGCATGTGTTCACTCTTGGTCCAAGACCACAGAGCTAGGGCCAGTGACAATCACCAATACTCAACCAGCTTTCACATACCATCAGTTCTGAGCAAGTAGCCCAGAGGACAGAAAGACTTGAGTTACGCTCGGTACCCAGACAATCAGATGGGGATATAAGGGAGAGGAAGGAAAACAAACCTTCGGTAGCATCAGAAATAGAAACATGAGGACGCATTTCAGGCTAATCATTGGTCTAGAGACCACTCAGTAGAAAGATACCATGACTTTTAAAAGAACTCTATGCTACATTAAATGAGCCACCACTGACTCCCCTGAAGAAATGAAGAGTGAACAGAGGAACATAAAGATACGCATATGTACTTTTCGTTAATCTCATTTTTCTCAGGTTAACACAATACACGGATTCTCTCTCATGCATGATTCAGGGGCACATGGAAGAGCCCTGTGATAAGAAATAACCAACTGTGATAAGATGTTCACAAAAAAGAGCTATCAAATCTACCAAGTCTTTAGTATACCTCCTGATCCACAATTAAAAGAAAGTAATGTAGCACAGAGTATAAAATACTTATCTGATGTAAACAGTAAAAACTAAAATGACACATCAAATAAAAATAAAGATGGGTAATGTCAACACAGATGCAAAAAGAAAGTGACAAAGAAACATCATTTCTAAAAAGATTAGAATTCCTAATAAGGTTACAGCATCCTGAGATGGGAAGCAGTAACATCAGAATCCTAGCTATATGTAGCACTACCTTTTTTATTCCATATGTGGTAAATTGTCACAACTGGAGCTTTCCTGGAGTGCTCTGAAGAAAAGGCACCCGTACCAAAGGTGGCCATTAGCCTGTGCCCGTAAGTCACCTGCTCCCCCCCAGCCCCCATGTGCAGAGTCTAGACCAAGCTGAGAAGACCCTCTGGGGACATGCTTCACTGCCAGGAAATTTCTCTGCAAGAACCATGGATACCGGGTAAGGAAATAAAGGAATGAATGCCAGACCTCAGGATGAAAATGGAGCCAAATAAAAGTAGCGACCTTACCCATGTTGTAGTCTTTGTGTTATGGTCAATGAAGAAGGGCCGGCCGTTGGGCGCTATCCTCATTTCCCAGCCGGGCGGCAGGAAGCTCTGTGTGACTTTGTGTTGTGGTTTGGGGGAGTTGTAAGGTGATGGCTGTGGGGACTGTGGATTGGAAAGGGTATCTTTCACAGCCCGACGTATGGGTGAATCCTTGGCACCCTAAGGAATAATAATGAGCATTAGAAGTCTTACCAGGTGCTAGTCCAGAGGGGTCAACATGTACCTGGGGGTCATGGAACACTCCTCTTTGAAGAGGGACAACGGGGAAGCTCCTAAAAAACCTGCTTGGTTTACTTTTAAAATTAATCTAACTGTAAGGTTTTTCTACTGGTTAAACACACAACAATATGAAGTACGTATAGCCACCATCCTTTGACAGCTACTTGGTATGTACCCAAAATACTGTTCTGTAGTGAGCATTATGGATGGAGATTGTACAGAAGGTGGAGAAGAACATGCCCCTGCTCTCAAGGAGCTCACAGTCTAACGAAGATGGACTGGCAATTTTCAGAGCAGAAAAGAAAAACCTCTATCAACCGAGACAGCCACCTGGAATTGCATAGTTGTTACCCAGGACATTTACATCACAGTTTGGAGGAGATATCGCCCATTCCCACTTATCAACATCTTCAACCCGGGCATGGAGAAGCCCGCAGCCATCTCTAAGATGCAGTCACGTTTAGAACTTCAAAGGTTTCGTCTCTGGTATTTGTGATGTTAAGGGATGTCCCTAAAACCACACAAACAGGAGGGCGCAAAGCAGATGCCCAGCAGTGACTCAGAGACGCAAACAGGCATCAGAAACACGGAGGCTGATACGATGGAAGACCTCACGGTCGAAAGGAAAAACAGATCAAAGCAACAGCTATGTTTAAAAACTCAACGTAAGCATTGGCATTTGAACCAATACGAGTTATTATGCGAGTCTCATGAGGTAACAGGCAGTAAGGAATGAAACACAACACGAATGGAGAAAGTTCTGAAGAGAGGAGCCCATGTCCAGTACAAGCCACCATGGCCTCAGCCCAATGAGAATGAGAATCAGGTGAGTCCAGGGATGGGAAGCACGGAGTGAGGCTGCACAGGGACACCCCTCATCACGGACACAGAGGCTGATTATCAGAGCGGAACGTGGCTGCAAATCCCAAGCCCCAGCTCAGAGAGAAGAGAGAATGAGGAGAAGTCACAGGATAGACGTGACCCCAGTTAGATGGCGCAGCCTTCTCACCTCCAGTGGGGCAGATAAAGTTACTGTTGGCGAACTGAGGCTACGAGGCCGGCGGATCTGAGGCTCGATTAGATGGTTGTTACTGTTTGCGGCGGATCCGGATGCACCGTCTTCTGCAAGCTACGTTGGAGGCAAACACAAGTTAGCTTCGTGTGAGGCTCTCCCTGCGCGCGTGACTGGAGGGCGGACCCAACAACACAGCCAGCGATTAGGAGAGGTCTGGCCTGTTTAAAGCACGGAGGGAATGACTACGCATAATAATGGGGGGAAGGATGGGGAAACACTCCAAGGAAATAAAAAATGAATCACCGGCCGGCATAAAAACCAGCCTCAGAAAAAAAGGGGGTTCGGAGGCATGCTACCCATCGTAATAAGCAGGCTCTTACTTTGAAAATAACCTTTCACGTCACATTTTTAAAATGGACCATCTAGGGAGAGACTGAGTCAGGGACCAAATTCTTTGTTAGGGCAAATACTATGTTTAAAAGGAATGCATTTGCGAGAAAAATTTTCTTAAACATGGGTTCTTCAGAACAACACATAAACATCGGGAACGTGGGATTCGCGTCCGTTTTGGCTTCTACTGCCTGTGACTATAAGCTGTGTGGCGATCTGCATACCTGCATGATAGGTCGAGTCCAAGTTGTGGTTCGATTGTTATGATTGACATAGTATGTGCGTCCCTTAGCATCTTTTCTCTCTTCCCAGCCTGAAGGTAGGCCCGGCGTGGTATGTACATAGGCCACTGATGGCTGTTTGTGTAAGAAATTGTTATTATTTAATATCTTGCATTTGTTTTCCGATCAACTTAATAAAGTAATACGTACCCAGAATTATCTGTGCTAGACAAAGTGAGTTAATTCTAATGGTACCGAAAACACGAGTGCCTGGAAAACAGCAATAGGTTTCCGATACCGTTAAACCTACTGTGAAATGAACTCCCGCACAAGCCACAGGGTCAAAAATCTTACAAAACTCAGTTCCAGGCCATGCAGCCTTCAACATAAAGGGTTGCTGCCAACGTGATCATAAGGAAAGAGAATAATATGACAATTCGTTTTAGTTGCTGCATTTTACTGTCAAACCACGTAGAGCCTAAAAGGTATTTCAAATTATTAAATGTTACCGACTCTGAGAGGGATGCCCTGAATATTGTTTCCTCAATCCAGCTGTCACAGGGATGCTCTCCTAGTCTATTCCTAAATTCTTCACCAGCTTAGGGCCCTTACACTACGTAGCTTTCGGCACGGGGGCGGGGGGGGCACACACACACACACACACACACAGAATCTGCTCTCTACGAGGCCTGCTTTCACGCTAGTGACTGACCAGAGTATCTCAACTATTCCAGCCCGGGACGCCACCTGGCGATCTGAGGCCAGAATTCCAAAGAAGCGTGATAACTGAGGCTGTATTTCCCCCCCGCTCCGTCCTCCCGTATGGAGTTTGTCTCCTTAAAGGGTGAATGGAGCACATGTAGCTTCTGGGCTTAGAGACATGTGCAGTACAGAGTGACTATGGTTGGATAGTTCAAAGTAGGTTGCAAAAGGCTTCCTGCGACACTTTTGCTTGTAAGAAGCAGTTTGAGAAATGCAGGCGGGGTGGAGAGCAGCTGGAAAGCAGGGTGTCTCAAAGACTCACGGAGGCAAGGGGATGTTTGCTTGAGGCCAGTGCCTCAAGGGGTGCCTCAAGGGGGTGCTGCGCATGAGCTCTGTAGCTGGGAAAGGGCTGCTACTCTAAGGAAGGGGGTAGGAACAAGAAGCCAACCATGACTACCAAGGCTCTTGGGAGAGCGTAAAAGAAACAAGAGGCCAAGCATCAGGAATAATCTCTTACGTGAGGTTACAAAAGGAAACCACTTCTTTTAGGGCACCGTCTTGCCTAACTAGGATCTTCTGGAAGTCCAGACATTTTACCAGATGCAGTTTTCTTGATCAGGCTGAAGATGTCAATCTCTTAGCCCAATCTCTCCTTGTACTCATCCCATCTTTCGTGTTCTCTGCCAACAATGTACCTTGGCAAAGAGGGTCCCCCAGTCCACTGCAAGTCCTTGAACTGAAAAGCAAGATCAGGGACGCAGCCCTGTCATTTGGGGACTGCAGGCAACGAGGCTTAATATCTTACTGCATGAGCTCAAATAGCACATTCCAGAGAAAAACAGACCAGGAAGCAGCTGCCTTAATGGTTATTTCTAAAACACATTTACCCAGCAGGGCAAGTGTACTTATCTGAAAGACAACTTTCTGCTAAAACTGCAGCAACTATTTCCTTGGCATTATTCCAGATAAAGTCCCCAAGGCCCCAGAATGGCAATTCCAAGACTCTGAGTACGTAGAGTCCTGGATCTAGCTGTGGGGATACAACAAGAGTGGAAGAAACATCAACATGCAGACCTGATCCTTCCATGAGTATTAAAGACAGATGAATCTGTCTACAGCTGAAAGCTGTTTCCACCCTCCTCCTCTCGCTGTGACACCAACACAAAGGAGCTATTTCCAGGCTACTTTTTATCTGGGCACTACAGCAATGGATTCTGCTGACACAGTGGACTCTGTAACCTAAGTTAGTGGTTGATTAGTATTTTGGGCCAAGTACATGCTATCAAGCCTTGACATACTGTTTGTTTATATGAGGACCAAAAATGTTTTGGCTGAATGTAATACTAAATACTAAATGCTGCTTCTCGGCCTCCCCGTTGAATTATTTTCTGCAGAGAGGCAGTTAGATGTGCCCTTAGAAAACTCCATCTTGGAAACCTTAAGGACAGTTTTACAGCTACAGTATCCCTGGAAAGGATATTTACAAGGAGGCTAATAAACTAAAATAACTGGGATGTGTCATGGATAATCTCAGGACTGAGTTCCAGCAGAGTATTCCAGCAACCAGGTTACTTTCATAGATCCACGGTTAATAGGGCTAATCAGTTTATGGAAAACTAGGAGTGTTGTAGAGAACACTTGAATTTGATTAAAATGTTCCTTCTACCTTCTATTGAGAATTGAATTGGCAACCTACGATCTAGTTCCATTTACACAAGATGGTGTTATTAAAATGGTTCTTTATAGGGTTCTTTCCAAGTGTCCATGAAGAACAGCCTGTGCTGATGATTCCATCTGTGACTCAAAACACCACCTCCCACAGCTGGGGAGGGGGTGGGGCTCAGCTTCTACGAACAGACCACGGCAGGGGCACAGACCATGGCAGGGGCGCAGCCCTGGAGCCAACGTCAGCCTTCTCCTGCGGTGTGCGTGGAGTGCGCGCGCTTCTGCACACGTGCATTCCTTACCACCTCGAGAACATGTGAATTAATCAGGAGACAAGTTAGAAAACGGCCAGTCAGCTTAATTTAACACTTCACAGCTTTTCATCTGAATTCTACTGCCGTGTTTCACAAAGCCAAGGAGCCATTTAACTGCAGCTTCATGGTAGCTCCACTTATTTCATTAGAATGAAGAACTCAATTACATTGGAGCTGTAACAGTTTCAAAATGCCTTTAAAGATGATAAATGTTTGGCGCTATCACAGATTCTCCAAGATTCACTCAAACCCTGCCACACTCTTACCTCAGTGTATTATTAGGGTATATATAGCAAAACCCCCAAACTGTGCTATGCCTCTCATTTTCTCGCACAGAGAGGGCTCATGCTTAGCCAGCTGGAAAGTGGTACCAGTGCGTATTTATTTGTCATACGTCAAAGGGTTGCGGCTCCGCAGATGAGAATCAGGGCTTGTTCATTACACCGTAGAAATAAAAGCACTACCATGGAAAGCGAGCAACACCAGGATGGTTAATAAAGCCACATGGCGAGCAGTGCCCAGGGGGTGGAGGCTGAATGTTCATCGATGTGGGAAAATTATATAAACTGCGGTGCACTCACATCACTGACTGCTATGTAATAATTAGTATGTCCCGAAAAAATGACAAGTGAATAACATCAAGTTGATAACTAATACATATATGAGATCCCACTTGTGTGTTGTGTGTGTGTGTGTGCGCGCGCGCGTATGTGCGCACGCATGCATCCACGTGTATGTTTACGAGAGCACAGAGGAAGGAGTGGGATGGGGAGTCCCAGGGTAGCTCCAGGATGACACAGCACACTTCAGTGTTGCGGCTGACAGGGAGAAGGTGTAAAAGAGGGGAAAACACATGGTAGGAGATGGAATTGGAAAAGCAAAAGTAAAGGCTATTCGTCACGAGGGATGGTGAGGGTGCAAAAGAAATAGACGTGATAATTTCTAATGCAGCCATAAGGTTTGCTTATTCCAGGCGAAAGATTACCAGGTACGTAGAAAGCATGAGAGTAGATAAAACATTTAGGAAATATTACTACCCAGTCATTGAAAATAGAAAACAAAACCAAATTCCTATTTTTAATTCATTGCTGGGGGAGGGAGAGAGCACAGGCAAGAAGAAAAGCACAGTGGCAGGGCCACGGGGAGCTCATTCACATGTATCACTTCGTCCTGCCAGGTGATTCTGACCATGGATCCCAGGACGATCATAATTCAGTTTACCCTGTCATTTAATATCATCAGCTCTCGCAACACTCCAATACTCACGTCAGGTTCCAAGGCCAACAAAATGCAAAAATGATAGTAGATGCTCAGCAGCCCTGCACTCTATTAGAATCATTTCATGAAGTGATCTTGTCCGCCTCGCAGCTCTACTCCCATGGAAATTACTAGCGCACAATAGGAAATATACGAGTTTATCTGAACTTTCTTGAATTCTACTGGAGGCTGAGCCTGGCCCACCCAACACATGCCCTTCACTGCAGCTCAATACTTTAAACTGGGCTGATTTTTGCGGACTGCCACTTCGATTTTCCAGTGTACAATGCTGAGCAGTAAATTCTAACAATATAACCAAATTGTTCCTTTAAATCAACATCCTACAGGAATCAGCAATCGTATATGTATTTAAAGGTGTTCTCGAGTAATAAGCAGTTACAACAAACATACAAAGGTAAAACAGTAAGGAAAATTCTTCAAATAGCTATAGCAGCTCCAAGCATAAACTATCAACTAGCCTGTCTTTAGGGATCAAGGAGAAAACAGGCAACTTAGTACCCAGTCATCCAAGTTACCCACAAACACGAACAGTAGAAATTACTTAAAATAATGAGTAATAAGAATAACAGATACTTGGCTTAAAAACATCATTTTTCTAGATCTTTTCAATTTCTTAATTATACTCTTTCCTCTCTCCTTCTAAATTATATGAACACTTGTTCATACCTGTGAACCTGTGAGTAGGGGCCCCTGGTAGCAGAGAAAGGTCACTGGTTCACGCTTGTGATACAAAAAATCTAACCCAGCCTTTGAAACGTGGTGCGGGAAATGTATAACTGAAAATTCACATGTATAATTGCATGTAATTCCTGTGGCTTCCTTGATTCTCTTCCAACCAAAATATTTTATCCAAGTCTTCTAAACACACGGGAAAAGCTTATCAGGAGTACAAACACTAAAAGGCAGAAACAGACTCTAAATGATCAGATTAAAATGCACTTTAAACAAAGCTTGACAGTATTCCTCATAAAACTATACGGGACTAAAAATCAATTCGTTTTACCCGGTACCTTCAAACAATGTGAAAGTGAGAGGTTTAAAATAAGAAGCATGCAGCTCCGTGGCACATAAGAAGCTGCTCTTATCAAAAAAAGAAGAGGGCTTCCCTGGTGGCGCAGTGGTTGAGAGTCCGCCTGCCGATGCAGGGGACACGGGTTCTTCCCCGGTCCGGGAAGATCCCACATGCTGCGGAGTGGCTGGGCCCGTGAGCCATGGCCGCTGAGCCTGCGCGTCCGGAGCCTGTGCTCCGCAACGGGAGAGGCCACAACAGTGAGAGGCCCGTGTACCGCAAAAAAAAAAAAAAAAAAAAAAAAGAAGAAAAAAGTGTATATTCACCATGACCCAAAATATGAAAACCAACCCCCAGTTTTGCCATTCATGTCTGAACGAGGGTATCATTACCGTTGGCGCCTCACCACCCGTGACAGTTGATGAACGTGCTCTCCCAGCTGGGGCACTGGGCTGTTAAATGATAATTTACATCAGTGAAATGCATTTTGGGAGACCACCCATTGCTTATTGAATCAGGAATCAGTGCTGGTGCAGCCAGTAAGGCAGGTGACATGAATCAAAATCTGTGCAATCCACCCGGTCCAAATAAATCTGAGCAACCACTGATGACCAGAAGGAAAAGAGGAACACGATGACCCTCCCATCCAGAGAAGGCTCAGGTTGCAGCCCTGACCTGGGTAAGCGATGAATTGACAACCTCAACAATGTGAGATGTCTTATGGAAAAAAAATGGAAAGCACCACTATCGTGCCCCCACTGTTAAATAATTAGCAGATTATTAAATCTGTCAAACTCAGAAATTCAAGTAAGAGGCCACTGGTGATCAGTGAGTTCACAGCTTCACGGAGCACAAGGAAAGAGGGAAGAATCATCAGTTTTCAGGGAAGTGAGCTCTTTTGGCCAATAAAACTGACACTGATTTTGGAAAAGGAGAGAAAGCACCATTAATTCATCAAGGAAAATCACAGCATCATCTGAAGAGTATCCCACTAGTCCATCACAGCTGACTGTTCTGTTTTGGGGGAGGCCTGACAGGATCCCAGAAAGGATGCTCTTGTCAAGCTTCTGACCTACCAGCCCTTTCCATGTATGTCACAACTGCATCTATTATGTTGATTACTCAGTTGACTAATGTACTATTCATTCTGTAAACATAAAAGACTTAAAGCCTAGGCAAAAAAGGTCCTTTGAAGTTGAGCAAAAATGTACACAATAGGGAAGACACTATGATTGCAGAAACCGTTACGTGCAATCTTTCTTTCCCTTCTTCAACTTTATATGCAACAAACAATGATCATTTCATTGCAAACAATTTCATATGCAATAAACAAGCGCTACCAATGATCAAGGATTTGTCGTAATACAAATTTACATAAAATTTACTTTTAATGTGTTTATTAAACATCTCCCAAAGCAGTTCTGGCCTGCTTTCCAATCAGAATATTCATTTTTATTTATGTCCTATATTATTAAATACCCTTTACACTTCTATATTTCCTGCTAGTTTTGAAAACTGTGGGAAAGTGGGAACAAATTATAGCCAACTCTTGAGTCAGCAGAGCTGGCTTTAAAGAGAAGGGACAGAGGCTTTGTGGGTTAAGAGCATTAGTAATGGAAAGGACTTCTCGCTGCCCACCCAGAAGAGTTCTTCCTATGTCCTTGAGATACAGGTCACTCAAACACAGCTTCAGGGACCAAATGAAGTTTTTTAAACAAGGAATTGTTAATGTTTAGGTCAAGTAAGCACATCAGAATTGGTATTAATTTGGATGGAAAAGCAAAACAATGGAGTTTTTAGCATTTCAGAGACTTTGGTGACAAGGACAACTCTTCGTATTGGAAATTCACTCTCCTTGGGCAATTTGCTAGGACATTTTAATGTCTTACGTATACGGTAAATGGATTGGCACAGGAAAAACTCTTCCTCAGTAGCCCAGATGATTTTAAATAAAAGCCCAAAGAGCCAATTCACGGCTGGAAATGAGCATGGGTTACCGGAGGCAGATGAGCCTGCTCTGCGACTGCGTCGGTGACACTGCAGGACCTCAACCTCGAGGAAGGCTCTCTCTGCTGAAGGGGAGGAAAGGACGCGGAGCATCAGGGACACATATTCTGAGAAACGAGTTTCACTGGATTAAAAAATATATCACTCAAGCCTAGTCACTGCTCTTTAATATTAGAAGGTATAATTAAATGAAACACCATCTTTTCGGGGTAATGAGAGTAATCTTTTAAGGAGTCAAGTATCTTCCACTGTCACTTTCAAGTGTCTTAAGCAGATGGGATAGAAATAACGTTAAACATAAGAGGCCAAAACAGGAAAGGGGGCTCCACAGATGACATTTGAGTGCTGCTCTAATAATGGAAAAGAGAAGCTAGAAGTCCTGAATTCTGCTTTGAGATGCAACCTCTGGGTAAATTCTAGTGGAACACGAATAGAGGAAGAGATACTGACATGCAGTTATTAAACATTTATTGACTACTGTGACCAATGACAAAGCATCAGTTGGATTCTATTTCCAGGGGAACTCAAATATAATCTTCGGCTCCTTCTGAAGGGTTAGGTATTTATAGCTTCAGCTTCTGAATGGAGTTCAGAAGTTGTACAGAACAGGAATGAAGGAAAATAGGTACGGCTAAACTAAAAGAAAAAAATCTATAGAGTGTAATGTATAATATGTTCCTCTCACTTGTTTGTATTAATCTATATTGTTAAAAAAAAAAAAAAAAAGGACCACAGATCAGCAGCAGGTCACACACACACAAGGCAGGGGTCTAATTAGCAACAGGTTGGTACATGGGACAACTCTGTAGCATCTGCTCGCTTTTAATATTTTGCAATCAGGAGAATGGGGTCAGGTCAAAGACAGACTCTGCAGCAGTAAATGGGAAGCTTTTCAAGTCTTTTCACAACGGTTAGCATGAAGGATTCATCCTTTAGTCAAAGTTCATGCTGTTGTCCATGAATACAGAGTGACCTTGACAAGCAAAACTGGAGAAGAACCCCCTACTGCCCTACTCCTCTCTTTCCTAGGCACTGTTATTTAATAGTTGAACCAGACTCAACATGAACTTAACAAAATTCCGACACTTGCACTTGGATCCTAAAGATATTTTATGAACCTAGATTAATGCAGAAGCTCCCTATACAAATAATAAGAGATGATAGCTTAATATCAGTGCTGCCTAAAATGATGGCTTTTCACTTGGTAGACTAAAGGTGTACCACTGCTATGCTTCTGGCAGTACTTACTTGCTTTTATAATGTTTAAAATATATGGCTTCCTTGCTTATGTTGTTTCCGTAGCAACAGTTTTATCAGTTCAAATATCCCATATATGCAAACTCTTTTTTTTCCCTGCCTCTTCAGTACTAAATTTTCGTCTCAGTGATATTTCTCTTTCTGAAGGACATTCATAGAATTTTTATACAAAAGCTCATTAACTGAGTAATCAGTGCAACTCATGATACGGGCCAATGGTGTCTTTTAAAGCAAAAACACATAACTGAAGGAGGAACAATTCTGTGAGTACTTACTGGCTTTTACATTTTATGTAGTCGTCCTATTCATTTACATTTGATATGGCTGTAATGATGACTATTTTTCTAGGATGCCATTTGCAGCAGAGGGACTACCATCGTTTACTACAGCACATCTGTAGGTTCAATTTCTCAAGAGACACTGAGACTGCATTGCTTCTCAGTTTTATGCATGAGCAGGAACTTTCTGTGGGCTTTTTCTGCAGAGCTTTGTGTTGTCAGACACAGGTCTTCATGGCTGATTCTGTTGTTCTCATTGGGGCTTAGCCCCACCTGAAGCGTCTACAATGAATTTCCCTGATGGTTAAGAACCCAAGTTCAAATGCTACCCTGGTGACAGTGTCACAGTTTCACAACCTTTCTCAAGGATTGGTACTCTGGGACTTGGGAGATGTCTATCTATCTCCTGTTCTAACCTTGTCTCGGATGGGTCACTTAAAATCACGTCTTCATCTGTGAAACGAGAATGGTAAAGCACACAGGGTATGACATAAGAGGATTAACCTGGAGACCCAATGTCTCCCAGGTCCCAGTGCGAACACCACCTTTATGACAAAGGTACTCTTTATGAACCTTTGGCTGGGAAAAGAAATTCTACAGGGTTAAAGCTGATGAAACACAAGTCATAGATTTGAGTTTTTTTATGCATCAGGAAAGATTTTCACTATTACTTACAATCAAAGAACCAAACTGCTCCCCGTTGGAGTCCGGAGTGATCTGAAGCCGTCTGCTCAGTTCCTCAGACAGCTCCTGGGGGCTGGTCCGAGACACAGGCGAGGCTGGTGGTGGAGGCAGCACCAGGCTGAGGGAGTCTCCACTGATGCTCACTTCTTCCGAAATGGTCTCCCAAGGCTACCAAGGAACAAGACGCTGTGGTAACCGCTAGGACGAGGGACCCTCTCATTCCCCGCCCCCGTAATAACCCTTATGATAACTGTAATTCACAGTTACTGAGCACTCAGGAGGCACACAATATTCTCAGGATCCATAAGGAAATAAAGACTACTACCCTGATCAACAGATGCGGACACTGACGCAGAGGGAATAACTTGCTCAAGGTAACAGAGCTAGGAAGTGGTGGGGTCAGGACTTGAGCCAAGGAAGCCTGGTCCCAGGGGCTGTGCTCTTAGTCCCTTTGTAATAGCGCCTCTCTGAGCAGTGCTTTGCTTCTAGCATTGATACTACCTGCATGGGTTAAAAAAATATTCTCAGGCATTTGTTTATGATTTTCGTGAATTTTCTTTTACCCTAACCGTTGAGGATTCACAATGAAAACAGCAGAGATGCTATAAGCTGTAAGTAAGCCCTGGTATGAAGTAACTATTAGTGAATTTATTCCAGCATCATTCACGTTGCTTTTCTAATTTTGATCACTGGAACATTTTGTGAATGATCTTCCTAATGCAATGTCTCAAAAGAATGGATTCCTAATAAGTAAACAGAGTTGTTAAGGCAGCATGGAAGTGACGGTTTGCTGCCTTGCTAATTTGCTGTTCAATTTATATACATTCTTCCACAGTAATTCACCATAAGCATTTAAGGGTAAACTTATGAACATTTCTATTCACCCAAATTTCTATTTTCTTGGTAACAAACCTCTTACACTATGTCAAAACTACTCAGTAAAAACTTGTATTTGGTACCCAAACAAGTTACAGGGCTACTTCAACTGCTCAAAGATGATAACCATGTTGCCATTTAACAAGAGGTGGTTAGACTCTGGGGAAAAATAAAGGATAAAGTGAAAACATCTTAAGATTTCCGTGCTAAAAATAATGTCATTCCCTTTTGTAGCAATGTAAACTATGTGTACTCGTCAAAGATGGCTTTTGTAAGCACTTTCTAATTAATAAATATCTCGATGGTCATCAATCAGCCACGAGACCATGAGCCTTCCTTTTTATACAGATTTACTGAGACAAGAAATTACGACACAGGCTCAACCTGGAGAACACGGAAAGGAGGAGCTCCAAGGAGTGTGCCAGCAGAGCGGGAAGTCCTACCTCAGGGCCGTCTCCGCCCTCGCCGGGCTCCACCTCCAGATCCTCGCTGATGTGTCTGCGTGAGCGGAAGCGCCGATGCGCTGCCTCCTGGTTGATCTGCCGGATGTTGCTGTCGGACTCGGAGGACACATCCCTGGGAGCGCGGGGTGAGGGTGTGAGTCAGGAGAACCGGTACTGACACCTGGCCCTTCAACACCAGCCAGCACCCACCAAGGGCCTGACGCCTAACACAGTGTCAGTGCTCTCTCGCGCGACACTGACCATCAGCTGGCCGTTCAGCAGGAGAATCTGCCACCACCTCTTGGCTAAAGCATTCTCCTAGGTCCCTTTCATTGAAATACAGTCTTTAAATGCATCTGTCCCAATATTTTTGAGTATCTTTCAGGCATATACTGCAGCATGTACTTTAGTGTTTAAGAAAGAAGAGAAATTAAAGTCCTCCATCCATCTGCCCCAGTGACAAGGGAGGCCTCTTGAAGGAGAGGTGACAGGTAAGCTCACACTCATGGCCAGTCCGTGGTGACCCCTCTCTAGGAGTCCAGCAATGACAGGGCCACAACTTTTGGTCACCAACAATTAACCAATGAGTACAAATAGTATAAACTCAAAGCTGGGGTCTGGAGGGAAATGCTCCTGACCCAACGTGAACTTTTTCGGCCTCTGAGGATCTCATTTTGACAGACTCTCAGATGCATGACACTGCATTTCTCCCCATTAAACTCCTTTTTAAAATCCACAAACATCAGGCAATAACCTCCCAAATCAACTTGGATTTGAGGAACGCTGCAACTTCATAGTCTCTTTTTTTTGGGGGGGGTGGCGGGGTGGGGCGTCATGTAACTCTCTTAATTCAGGATGTGAAAAGCACTGAGTCAATCTTGAAAACTTTTGCACTAAATTACAGGCAATTCTCCTTTGGGAGAAATACTACTTGGAGGCTTTTGGAGAAGAAGTTTAAATGTCAAAATGTTTTTCAGAGAAAACCCTTACAGACTCTTTCAATAAGACACCATATTCAGTTAAAAAATGACACTGCAGGGCTTCCCTGGTGGCGCAGTGGTTGAGAGTCCGCCTGCCGATGCAGGGGACACGGGTTCGTGCCCTGGTCCGGGAAGATCTCACCTGCTGCGGAGCGGCTGGGCCCGTGAGCCATGGCCGCTGAGCCTGCGCGTCCGGAGCCTGTGCTCCGCAACGGGAGAGGCCGCAACAGTGAGAGGCCCGCGTACCGCAAAAAAAAAAAAAAAAAAAAAAAAAGACGCTGCAAATTAATATTTCAAAATACTTGAAAACATTATTTCAGACTAAATGAAATCCAGTATTAATCAAGGACCCTCATTATAGACTCTTCCTAAAACACAGGTTTTAAAACATTCTAATGACTCTCAAGCTAACTTATACTCTTTTCCTATATTCCCCCCAAAGAACATGCTGGGCCCCTGTAACAGTGAACAGTCTGCAATAAGCAGCACTGTTTGCAAACAAACAGGTGACTCTTTAATTCCAGTTTCCAAGAGAGTCTGAATATTGCCACCAAAGATCTTTACATTTTTTAGCTTTACTGGTAAAGGGACAGTATGAAGGTTAGCTTTCTTTAATCCACATTAAAATAAAACCTCTTGTTATTAAGATCTGAATGAAGTTTTACTGCCCAAGATACAAATTTTTAAAACCTAACAGAAATATACATTTTGCGTACTTTATAGTTGTACTAAACTGTAACTGGACTAAAAATAGTATGTTAAGCAGGACTCCTCAGAAAAAAATCGCATAAGGCCATAGAGAAACTAATTAAAATCAAGGGACACACAAGTATACTAACACAATTTCTGAAACCACCAAAACAGGATGATAAAAAATAACACTCTCTTGGATATGTTAGAAAATATAATATTGTCTTTGTGATTTTACTGCCATGATTTTTATAGGACATTCAATTCAATTTCACTTTATAATGACTGGCCTTACTTAAAAATATTGTATATAGAAAAGTTGCATCAAAATTTTAAATCTTCACTTGAAATGTCAGGTGTCACTTAGTCAATACCGAATGTGTGTTCCGGGTTATAACACACACTTGAATTGTTACAGGGATTTCGGAGAGGTTGAAAAGAATAAGGCTTTAATATTGCTATGTCTGCATTTTCTATCTCTCAGAAGTATATAAAAATTCCATTATTCTGGAAGGACTTATTTTTTTAAAAAAGGGCATTTAAAATCAATTATGCTAATCCTCCTTATCCAACATGCTTGAATAATTAGTAATCAGTGTGAACCAGAAACAACTAAATAGCATAAAGAAGAAAGATATCTCTGATTCTGAAATTCCAACCCTGGGCTTTTTTATAGTCTTTAGTGATAAAATGAAAACGTTCATACAAGGGAGGCCTTTTGCCCTTAAATAAGCAATTGAACGAGAGGGCTGTTGAAACTGACAGGAAGTTTAAACGGTCACTAATAGGAAGATGAACATTTAAAAATATGTCTGAGCTGGCAAATTAAAACAGAAACATGATTTTATTAGAGGCAGGGAAAAAATTTAAAAAGTGGCTATTTCAATTTTCTTCAGTCATTAATTTCACATATATATTCTTCATTTGACTTTCATGGGAAACATACAAATTAATAAAGAGAAGAAAACCCATAAATTTATCAAATTCAGTGCCAATTAAGATCAGTGCATCTGATCATTTACATTCACATACATCAGTGACTAATGATGACCAGAGTCATTAAGATATGATTAAATTACCGCTAAGATGGGAGACTGCCAAAGTGGTTTAGAAAGAGAAGTACTGAAAAGAGTTAAAGTAAGTGTTTTGAGTCTAACAAGTTCATCTATAGTCTTAATGCAATTCATGATTTTAAACTTGTGCTTTTAACAGTAAAATGTTTACAGTTTACATTTAAGTAGGATAAGGACTATTCTAAAATTAGAGGCATTTTAAAAGCCACTGTCTGACCTGAGAGGGCTGGGGAGTGTTCTGGAGCCGCCTTCCATCTGAGAGCTCTGCATCCAGGCCTGGACAGTTCACTAAACCACGTGCCTGTACCCACTTCCAGAAGTGACTCATCTGTAGTCATTCGTTCAATTAAAAGCTCCTACCTTGTGCCAGGTGCTAGGGGTTGATCTGTGAGTAGGAAACCACAGTCCCTGCTCATACAGGCAGTAAGAGTATTATGCGCTCTGTGTCCTGACAGGGAGGCACAGGGCTCTCAGAGTGATGGGGACAGAAGACGTCCCGTGCTCCCAGAGGAAGGGATAGTAGGGTGACATCGGAAGGTTACCAGGGGAAGGGGCATGTTCTGGCTTTATTTTTTTTTGGGGGGGGATTGGGGGTTAGCACATCCATGGGGCCAAGAAGAAGAGAAAGTAATCAGAAAGCAGCTATGCATGATCAGACCGCTCTACGTTTCTGACTGTGGCTGGCAAGAGGCAGGGTGAGGAGGACCCTGTAAGAACATCCTGAGGGCAACGGGATGTCAATGAGGACTTTTCAGGGGCTGAAGTCTGGAGCGCAAGTCTGTAGCAAACAGGTTAAGAAATGAGAGTCTCCACTACAGTCTTAATTCTCTGCGCAGCATGTGATCATCACTTCTCATCTGACTTCCTCAAATATAGCCTTTTAATAAAGACCCTTCTTTTTTTTTTTTTTTTTTTGCGGTACGCGGGCCGCTCACTGTTGTGGCCTCTCCCGTTGCGGAGCGCAGGCTCTGGACGCGCAGGCTCAGCAGCCATGGCTCACGGGCCCAACCGCTCCGCGGCACGTGGGATCTTCCCGGACCGGGTCACGAACCCATGTCCCCTGCATCAGCAGGCGGACTCTCAACCACTGTGCCACCAGGGAAGCCCATAAAGACCCTTCTTAACATCCATTCCCCCCCAACCCAAACTTGCAGTATTCTGTGAAAACTGAGTTACGCAAAAAATCATTTTTGAATTAAAACAACACATTAAAATAACCTGGAGGACTTGAGGGCTTCTGGTCAAGCCAAATAAACTTAAGGAAAAACACCCCCAAATTCTCAAACAGTTCAGACGGGATGAGGAGGTTATTGTGAAAACCGAATCTTTTTCCTCATCTAACTTTTCTCTTGCTTTCTAGAAGTCATGCTTGGTGGAAAGGAGGTACCTGGCAGGTCCCACCCGGAGCTCTGCAGACGTCCTTCCTGGCTCAGCTGCCTCACTGATGTGGACCATCATGCCACTGATTTCTCCCTAAACTACAGGTGAACATGAACTCGGAAGAACCACAGTTTCCCTACTGCTGAGCCAAGTGAGAGCTTGTATAAATTCCCTCATTAGAGTTCCACAACTCTGTGCGGCAGAGAAAGTAGCAATTGTCTCCAGTTCCCTCCTAAATACAGACTTTGGTTGCATAATTATTAATGAAAGTGAACCTTTTTCTATATATGTACTGGCCATCAGTCTTTCTTTGAGAGCTGCTAGTAGGCACTTTTCTACAGAGGTCATGACACTGTGGTCCCCAGAGAGTGCTGTTTTCAGGTATTCCTTTCCTATGACCTTTAGCAAAGGTAGATAAAGGTACCTGGCTTAGGGTACTGCTACCAGGATTCTTCTGATCACTACACATAACCAAGCCCAAGGCGGTTACTTTGTTTTTTTTAAACTACAAATAACTAGAGTAGTCAAATGGCTTACAACAGTTTTAACAGCTATGGTCATTAATCAAAGGGAAATAGTAAAAACTAAATAAATAAACTAATTAAAGGAATCAACTAAACCATTTCCATTTATATTTCTATGGGAAAAAATTACAACAAAAAAGAGTTCAACGTCATCTGGATGTTGGGATATTTATGCTGTCCTGGGAACAAGGAACTGATACACACACCGTGTGGTCCAAAGCTGACCAAGGACGGCTGATATTCATGAGAACCCACATAGGGGCTTAGGAAGGATTGGCTATTCACTGCTGCAGATTCTGCTTTTTCTCTAAACCAAACAAAATCTAGACTATACTTCTTGGCCACCTTTCCTACCTATGCAGGTCATCTTTGCAATTTCTTAAGATAAAAGGGTTACTGACAACACCATCCATCCCATTGCTAATACCTGCTAAAAACCATCATTAGCAAATTTCCTTCAGAGTCGGGGTTAAAGAGAAAATTATCTCACCTCATACACTTGCTTTTATTCATATTGAAAATTATACAAGTTAGTGGTAATTACCTGCTTGTCTTGACTACTAGGGAGGTCATGATTTCTAGGACAATTTTTTCCTTTTCTGTTTTTAATATTTTGTTTTTGCCTTTTATTGTATATTAATAGTTTGAGGTCTTGCTGTATACTATCATTCAAAACCTAAGCTGCTTCAAATCCTTTTTTTTATAGTAGTTGAGGTTTAACCAGTGTTTATTTGCCATCATTAGACCAAAAATTGTCGAGTGAACAAAACAGTAATCAATTCACTGTATCCCTGAGGCTGGCAAGGGATTAGAACAAACTGTAATTACCAATTGTGAATTAGCAACCCTCCCATGTGCTTGTAAGTATATCAAGGGGGTGATCTATACATTTTCCAAAAAGGAAAAGAAAAATTTTGAGAGAGTTTCCAAATCAAATAATTATGGAATAAAAATCCAGAAAAGTTAAAGAGCCAGTATGTTTGCTATTTTCCATGACTGGTTAGCCAGGAGAGGAAGCCGAAGAAGGGGAAAGTGATGTAATCACCAAACATAAGATAAACCAAGGAAAAATAACCCCTGCTCTACATCTCACGAATCTACATAAAGAAGTCCTAATTAGCGCATGTTTACAACAGGAGAACCTGATACGAAGGCAAGAGCTTCTTTACAACCTACAAACTCAGGCTCCCACGCTCTTTAACTCCACGAAGAGGAATCCTGTTGTGCTGCACAACCACGTGCTTTCACCGGTACAAGATGTACTTCCCAACCTCATCCCAAAGCGCTGCCACGTGTGCACCTGACTGCAGGGCATGGGGACATGTTTCTGACCATCGACGGTACTCACATTAGGCTGGGTCGGTGCCACTGGGTGGTCCGGTTGTTGTGGTTGACATAGTAAGTGCGACCCAAGTTGTCCACCTTTTCTTCCCACCCGGGGGGCAGGGGAGGGGGGGGAAGTTCCTCCTGGTGCTGAGACGCCGAGTCATTCGAGTCAACAACTTCCCAGCCGGGCTGTGGAGCACAATCAGAGGGGAGATGGTGAGGCTGCTTTGATGGCTACAGTGCGTCTGTGCCCTTCGTCCTTGCTCCTGTGCTCTCCGGCTCTGACGGTGGCTTCCTGCGCCACATTTAAAGAAATTCCCAAAATAGGGCAAAAAAAAAAAAAATCAATTCTAGGAGCGTCTCAAAAATATTCTGAGCCATGGCCAATGAACTGCGCTGCCCTCTAAGAAGATGACACTGCAGGGTGCCACTCGGATGGGGATCTGCACAGCCTGTCACGTTACCTAAGTCACGTTACACTCTTTTCGTATTTCGTGTTTGTTATTTTGACCTGACGGCCTCCGGGGCTGTACAAAGCCTTGCCGATGATACGGGTCACGCTACAGCTGTCATCTTTTCAACACCTCCATAAGGTAAGAGGGAGCTGGGAAGATGAGCCCTGCAGCATGTGTGTTCTCGCTGAATCCGTGGCCTGCCCGGGCATCGGGAGGCCCGGGGCGCTCTTGCTCCCCAGGGAGGACAGCATGGAGGCCGCTCCAGGAGGAGGGGAAGCTCCTGGGCTGCAGGAAGGACGAGCCGCCAGACAGCCAGGAGCAGCCTGGAAGCTGCCGCTTCCTACTCAGCCATTCCCCACCTGCTGCCGCCGCATCAACAGGCTTCCTGGTACCAGACTCAGAGGTGCTTTTTTTGCAACACATATTTTCGGCATTAAGTATTCCTTCCTGACATTCCCTAGTAAAGTCACTGGAAAATTAAGTAATTCACTGATTATTACAGTTGGAAGGTTGGAAGAGTGTGAAAAAAAAATTCCTTGGATTTGAGATAAAAATCTGTGGATGTGCTTATGAAATCTTAACATTCAAGACTGCCTACCACCCACTTCAGTCCTTCTCACAGAGAAAGATGAAAGCTTGCACATGAAACACTGCCTGGTAATATGACCTCTGGGTCTGAGGGAGGTTCCGTTAACTTGCCCATAATGCATTATTCACACATCATGTATATGCAACAGCTGCAAACAGATGTGCAAATAAGCCACAGAGAGGTCTTGTAAACGGACATTTTCTGAACAATACGAGAATCTGTCTAACAAAACAGCACCATCTGAAGCCTGAGCTGAGAAGGTACCCATGGTAGAGGTACGTGACTGGAGAGTTAAAGGTGGCCTTGCCAGGAGGGAACAGAAGAAAATTCCTCTGGACAGCTAATTCCAAAACGGCATTTCTACCTCGTGCACGCTCTCACCTGTGGGCCAGATGAGTAAGAAACCTGCATGAGTCCCTAAATTATTTTCGCCACTTGAAGCAATTTCAAGTGCTAAAAGGAATTTACCAAGAGCTGCAAGTCCAAAGAAGTAAGATAATTAAATATGTGGGGAGAATTTCACATGGCGGTGGGCTGTTAATAAAACAGGGGTATCGCAGTTTAGAAAGAGACCCCTCTTCAATTATTAGTATTATAACGTGAAATGAAAAGTTATCCTTTTTGCTAAAAACCAAACACATCGGTAGATCTGTCAAAGACGTAGATTCATGGACACATTGAAGTTTCTTCACATTTAAGCTTGATCAACTTTTATTTCCTTAAATTATAAAGTCTTAAAGTGAAACATCAATGTGCTCTTAGGCAAGGAAAACAGACCAAGGCCCGCAGCCCTGTACCTTACCTCCATCTCATCCCTCTGCTCGCTGTTTTCTTCATCTTGACCTCCGTTTTTGGGCATATAGGCCATTTTCAATCGCAAAAATCCCTTAACTCGAGATTTATGACTGCACGATGGAAGAAAATCGGTTATAAAGGATGTGACTTGGTTACATCTTTATGATGGCTCATATTTATGATGCTTTAAAAAAAAAATGCAATACAAAAAGAAGCTGGAATTCTCCTCAGAGAAAACCAAGAGCCAAAGCATAAGAAACGGCAGCGGCCCGAAGCCTCACCTTCTTGGTCGGAGGAGAAAATCCTTAAATGTGTAGGGTCGCTCCATCGTTGGATCTTCTGTCTAAAGGAAGAAAAAGTAAGTGTCAATGCTCCTGATAGTGTCGTATTTCAGATACACCCAAGTGGATTACAGAGAATACATTTGCAGGTTTTAGAACGTGAGCCTGGCGAAAACAGAGTTGGTTCCTCACCCAGTACTTGACAATTAATTACACATTTCATAGGTTACAAAGCTTTACTCAAGATCCACTAGATGTCACTATCAACACCCATTTTTAGGAGCCAACCTCAGCCTGAGACAAATGACAGAACTGTAGTCGTCATTGCCAAGTGTAATTTCTAGCTGCTGGGTGCAGGGCTCAATCTCACGCTGCTGATTAACTCTGGAGAACCAGGGGTCACTGGTGCCTGCCTGCTTGTCCCTGTGATTCAAGAAACCTAAAAATGCAGTTAATAGGAAAACATGCGAGATCAATCTGTGAATGCAATTTTACTTTACTTTTAACATTAAAATATCATGTCATCTGAAAGACAGTTTCCTCCACAGAGACTGTCCTAGGTGGCGTCATCCATCAGCCTTTTGCTGGTGCTTATTTCAAGAAGCTATGAATGTCGTGGTGGTATTTATTCATTTTTGAAAGAAATCAGTGTTTTATTGTGCAAAATCAGATGGTCAAAGCAAGCAGGCAACTGGAAAAATAAGTGTTACTATTTCATTAATTTAAAAATACTATGTGCAGTAAAACTTCAAATACCTAGACTCTTTAATTAAACACAATTAAAAACATTTACTTCTGTAGCAAGAGAGACAAACCACAAAATGATTTATTATGTATCAGAAGGGTATGTGTGTATATATATGCGTTTATATTTGTAACATTATCTGTTTATGTCACTCTCTGCTTTAAACTCGCGATGGCTTCCTACTCTGCTTATATAATATGCTGAAAATTCTTTCCTATGGACCTATAAGGTTAAACACGATGTGGTTCTTTTTTTCTTTTTGCGGTACGCGGGCCTCTCACTGCTGTGGCCTCTCCCGTTGTGGAGCACAGGCTCCGGACGCGCAGGCTCAGCGGCCACGGCTCACGGGCCCAGCCGCTCCGCGGCATGTGGGATCTTCCCGGACCGGGGCACGAACCCGCGTCCCCTGCATCGGCAGGCGGACTCTCAACCACTGCGCCACCCCGGAAGCCCTGATGTGGTTCTTAATTACCTATAACCTCACTGTGAACCAGTCTCTCCACTGACCCCATACTCCTGACCTCCTCTGTCCCACGTGCACATCACATCTAATCCTGCTCTAGCAGGTCCTTCAACTGAACAGCTCTGGCTCCAGATGGCCACAGCGGTCTCCACTGTGTCATCCAGGTCTGGGATCCCAAGTCACATCTTCAGACACCACATCCTAAATCGCCACCATAGCCTCCCTTTATTATCCTCTGTCACAACATCCTGATTTACACCCCCTCTTCACCATCTGAAATTATCTTGCTCATTTATTTATTAACTAGTTTATTAACATCCATCACCTGTAGAATATAACCTCACGAGATCAGAGACTTGGATTTGCTTGCCACTGTATTCTTAGTGCCAAGAGCACTGCCTGACACAAAGCACCTGTACAAGTAGCTGATTAACCCACCTGATCTACAGTAAAGTACCGAGGCCACAGAAATTCACCATCACTCAAGAAAGTCAGTTATATTCTCTAGACTTTTTTCTAAATTCAGACAAAAAAAAAAAAAAAAAAATCAGAGAACTTACCGGGACTCTAAAAATGGAACTGTCCATACACTACGTAGTTTAAATGACAGACACCACACACATCAGGAGGCAGACGTCCTGGGTCTGTGTCTTGGCTTTGTTACCTAAGAGCCATGTGGCCAAGGACAAATTCCTTAGCTCTCTGTGCCTCAGTGCCCTCATCTACAGAGTAGGGCAGTAACAGGATCTTACAGAGCTGTGACGATTAAACCAATCATCTGAGCTGGTATCAATACACAGCAAGTTCTCACAAGGGTTCCTGGCAACTTAACAAACGTCGGCCATTGTCATCATCAGCCAATTCTCCATTTTCATGTCACTTGTGAGCACTGCCAACTCAACACTGCAAAAAGGCAGGGCGTTAAAAAATGAAAATTCACCTCCACGGACATTCTCCAGTGTGAACAAGACTGTTACCTTGCCGATAACAACGGGATTCTTCCTGGCACTACTCAGGCTCCTGCTGGATCCTATTCCCTGGAGAAGATCCCAGGGGAGACTCCCAGGACAGCACTGAGATGGTAGAAAGCCATCTCAAACAGGTTGATGCTAACAGTATTATCGGCCAAAACAGATGCTGCAACCCCCTGTCCCTTTTGAATGTCCTGTGGGCATTCAAAAGAAAATCTTCTGGTTACACAGCAATTTCATCTTAAAAAGATCTGTTGCTTTCAACAGAACTGCAGTTACTTTGACATATATGTAATGAGGTAAATAACTCTGTGGGCAAGTGGAAGGGAATGGCCTTATCAGGACCTTAGACTCAAAACAGGGATGCAACAGCTAAAAGCACCCAGGCCTTAGACGGAGCCCCCCTGCCTCCTCGGCCCTTGACCGCACCACAGATCAAGGCTGAAGACCCAAGGTCTGGTCGGTCTTCTGATCACTGGGCAACTCACTGGGCAACTCACTGGGCAAGTCAACACCTGGGCCCAGGTGTCCTCACCTGTAGAATACAGGGAGTGGATAAATGGTCTTTAAAGTCCCTCTAAGGTCTATGCGACTGAATTCTGTACACGTGAGAGGGAACCATTACCCTGGTACCAGCTGGAATTATAAAAGGGGTGTTCATCATCTGAGTTACCTTCAAGCACAATTAAGGTGCCAAATAATATTACCACCACCCCAAAGATGTCTCACTGTAGGAAAACTGAAATTTTTTCAGTTGCCTTGAGTGGCACTTGACTAAAATAGGAGAAATTAATGTTTTTAAAATAGCTCTCTCAACCCCAGCACGTTTCCCATAGATACAGAGATTTTGCATCTGGTAGGGGTAATGTGCTGGGACTCAAAGGGCAGGGGAGACGCAACTGACGGACGAGGCAAGGAAAGTTTCCGAGGCATAAAAGGCAAACACCCACCAGAAATGTCATTCTGTTGTTAATACGAGTCTTGGAGTTATTTTTGTCTCTAAGTAATTATTAAAGACAAGTCATAAAATCCTGTATGAACTTCTGGGCAATGACACAGGATTTAACAGACAGATGTAAAAATGATAGTGTTCTTTAAAAAAAATCAGTAAGAATAGGACAGTTACAGGGACTTCCCTGGTGGTCCAGTGGTTAGGACTCCACGCTTCCACTGCAGGGCACAGGTCTGATCCCTGGTCGGGGAATTAAGATCCTGCGTGCCGCGCGGCACGGCCAAAAACAGAGTAAATCCTGAAATAGGAAAAGAAAACGCTACAAGAACAGGACAGTTACAGCTAAGTTCACTTCTGGTGCCACACTATAAAAGAATAAAATGGAGCTCAGTTTGAGCTGCACTACAGACGTCAGGCTGGTGGGACTACCTTGCTTAAAATACAGTCCCCACCTCCTCTCTCCTCCACGTGCCTCCAGCTCGTCACACTGCCCAAGTCTCCCAGGTAACAACGTACGTCATCACAGTCGCCGTGCCTCTGCTTACAGCCAAGGTGCTGTTTCACAGAGCTGGATGGAAACTTGGTATCATCTATGTGTATGCCCTCATTTTATAGGTGAGAGAAACAGAGGCCCAAAAAGGACTGCTAACTTATTAAGGTTACCAAGGCAACCTGCCCATCTCCAAGCTCGGAGGCAACTATTCCTGAGAGATCTTTTAAAGCTTGACATTTGGAGACTTCCGTGAATATGAATCTATGTTTTCTTAATTCTCAGATCTGCATAAAAGGTCAGATGACTAACCTTATTTACTCTCCCTCTTCCCTCCTCGTCTTTTACTCACTCCCATCCACACTCAATAATAAATAAAATGGAAAAAAATATTCAAGACGGGTGGCATATTTGGAAGAGAAGCAAAGGAAATAGATCCCTACTATTCTAAATTCCTTGGGTCTAATTTCCTATCCTTTTTCTTCCACAAATAAAACTGGGAAAACTGGTCTGAGAGCCAAGAATGAAAGTGAATGACAAGTCAAAGTTATTTTCTTTCATCTGGAAGCATCTGATAAAGCAGCGAGGAATCCATGATCGAAGGGGGAAAAGAAGTTTCTTTTCTTTCCATTATCACTCTTTACTCTTTCTTGTTTAAGGGACAAAAACCTAGCCAACACTGGCCTCCTCGGTAATCGAGGTAGTGAGGCTCCAACACGCAGAGCACACCCCAGCTTCACACAACCCTCCCGGCCCCGTCCCTCTGTGCCAAGTGGCCTCCTTCACTCGTCTCCCTGGCAGAACTCCAACCCGGACGGTCCCAATGCTCACAAGGGCACACAATTGTCCAGAGCCCCAACAGTGGGCAGTGGGTCGAGAAGGACCCGTGGTGCCCCAGTCTGAGGTGTTCAAGCGCCCTGACCCTCTGGCTCTTCCTGGTAGGCTTCTCGGGATCAGGGAATTTATAGCTGCAAGTAAGGACAGCTTAGGAGAGCCATTCCTAAGATTTTAAGAGCATCCTGCAAATGCCACTTTCCACCAGCAGCTGCGCCCACAGGCCTCTAGGACTGCAGCAAGGGAAGAAGGTTCTTTAGCAAACATCAGTTACTAGGTCTAAACTATGTTTTTCAAAAAGCACACCCAAAAAGCACACCCAAAACCCACAAAGTAGGGTATTTAAATGATTAAAGATAACTTCCTAACAATCGTGAGAGGTTACGTTAACTTCAGTTTTGTGGTCTTGAATCTCCTCCATCAAGTTCCTGATTTAGAAAAGAGCTTCATTCAAAGGCTGCAACTTCTTAGACCAGAATCAAGGCAGAGATGACTCTTTTCTAAAGGAAGAAAGGTTCACGCTATCTTGGGGCAACAAGATAAAGCTTAAAATGCCTTGTAGTAAATAAGTGTGTATATATGTCAAGATGGAAGTGTATGCAATTAGGTATTTTCCTAATATAGATTTTAAAGATAGTAACAAAAGATTACTTCTCTTCTTTATCTTAATTTCTATGATTCCAAATCTCTGGGCCTTTTCTCTACCTAAATTAAATATTCATGGCATATTAAATAGGTAGAACTATAGAGAAACAGCCTCAGGTAGGGGAAAAAAGCTGAATGAAAATGCACCACGTAAAACTTGGTGTGGGAATCCCTCCACCCCCAGTTCCCTCCAACAGCCAGAATTATTATCTTAGGAAAAGGGCATCCAGAATCATGTATTTTTCACCTAAGCCAGAGAACTCTGGTCTCATCTCACCTGAGCCATCTAATAGGGTGCCATTTGCCACGTGTGCCTTTTTAAATATAAATTTTAATTAATTAGAATGAAATAAAATAGATAAATTCCGTTCTTCAGTCACATTAGCTACATTTCAAATGCTCGACTACCACATGTGGCTACCGTGATGGTGGCCCTGCTAAGCCACATGAGTGAGGAACCTGCTTCACCGATTCTTCATCAGAGAGTAGAATTATGCCTATCAGGAAACATCTGTTAAAGGAATAAATTCTCTATCAGCAAATGGGGCTGTAAAGAATTAATTAATAACCAAATACCCAGTCCGATTTGTTAAACCTTGAGAAGGCTTGGAAGGGTGGGCAACGGCAACTTCACCACCACATGACTGCTCTCCACTACCTTCTCTCATTATTAGTAAGACCTAAGTTCTTTAATCTAAAATTCGATGACATCAAACAATACTGAATCCACAGGCCACAGAGCCATGTATATATAAACTGCCTTGACAGTGGTCACATGGCTATCAAGAAAAGAGCAACCATGATCTATCCACAAAACATATTCAAATGCTAACATCCATTTTACATGCCCACACTTGTGTTATCATACAAAATTAACTGTGCTATCTTCCCATGAGTGTCCTACACATATGATCAAATACACATATGAGAGCACCTCAAATCTTGGGACCAAAGCCATATATCCACTCAGAATATGCCGGTTGGGTTCTCCTACCACTAAGAGGATAAAGAATGCACCTTCACCTCTCCTTCTGCTCCCTTTGTGGTCCATCTTGGAGACTGCAGTGGGCTCCACAAAGCCAGTCAGTTTTAAGGAGGAGATATAGCACTCCAGTGTAAGCTCATCTGGGGACTGACTGAAAACTGGGAGGCTCCACTTCTCAACCGGCTCAGCTCCTGTGAAAGTCCTCAGTCCTCTCTGGTCTCTCCCTCTTCCACTCTTTTTTATTTTATTTTTTTGCAGTACGCGGGCCTCTCACTGCTGTGGCCACTCCCGTTGCGGAGCACAGGCTCCGGACGTGCAGGTTCAGCAGCCATGGCTCACGGGCCCAGCCGCTCCGTGGCATGTGGGATCTTCCCGGACCGGGGCACGAACCCGTGTCCCCTGCATCGGCAGGCGGACTCTCAACCACTGTGCCACCAGGGAAGCCCTCCCTCTTCCACTCTTTAACCGGCTGGCTTCTATTCCAGCCTGGAGCCTTGGCACCGCTTCCTTCTTGGAAAGCTCACTCTTGCCTCCACCGAAATCCAAAGGTAAAATGTTCCCTCTACTGATGTGGTCTCTGAAGAGGAACACTCTTCTATTCTCTGGGAGTTCCACTCAACCTTTCAAAACCAATCTGCACTCAAGGGATTGTTGGAGCAAGTTGTTTAAAATTTTCATCTACACCTCTTAGAGTTAATACATAATTTGCCTTGACTGTGATGTGGTTTTCATGTTGGGGAAAAGGGAGGTTGGGGACACCCGTGAAAGAACTGGCCAACCAGCCAACACTAACGAAAAATGTGAGGCGGTTACAGCTTCAACCCGAACAGCATGAAGAGAAGACCCACTGATGTAGAAATACGTGAACAGTCTTCCTGCACAAAGGCTGAGACATCCATACGCTATCAATGTGACTTTAAAAGAACAGTCAGGGCTCTGATGGCTTATGCCATCAAGCATAAGCCCACCTCCCACAAGCACCTTGGAGCTTCAGGTTTTCATATAGAAACAAGCAAAAATATTCTAATGATATTACTTTTGCTTCCGATCTTTTGGAAGGGAAGGCGCTTGAAACCTTTCTTCCTTAACAGCTCCCCTGAGTAAGCAAGAACACAGTGCTTGCCATCATGTTTCTTCCCAACAGAGCTTCACAGCTTCCTGGGTGAGACACAGTCTTTCTTGGTCTTTAACAGCCATAGCTAGAGTTTCAACACGGCAGGAGGCTCACACTAGGTGGTTTGAGTCCTTTTAGTGTATAGAACACTTATACTATTTGCTCACATGATGCGTTTAAAAACATAATAAAATGTCCTTGGAAGGCAGAAATGTTTGACTTATCCTCTCTCAGGTGCTACTTTAGGCACTTTGTGCTGCCCCGGGGAAGGAGGGCCGGGAGGTGGAACACGAGACCATCTACCTCTCACCAAGGAGGTCTTGGACCCCTGTCCTATCGATACTGGAACGTGCGAGAGTCACCTTTAAGCTCAGTTAATGTCAACAGCCCCAACTGTTTTGCTGCTCGTCTGAGTGGAGAGGAATAGTAGCAACGCCACACATGCTAACCCAGTACAACTTCTGAAGCCAGAGTGGGCGTTCCGACTGACAAGTTCACTCAGTACCAATAGCATCTTTTCTTTTGTCTCTGTGCCAACTGAGAAAGGCCATGGAAACACTAGCTTGTATAGATGTAGCCCAAGAGAAACAGCAGGTACCATTCCAGACAAAGGGAACAGACGTTTGATTAGACCCAAGAGGTGAACTTGAAAGCAGGGACATTCCAGTGACAAGGAGGAGGGGTCTGACAGAAGCAGGTAGGTGACAAAGGAAGACAAACTAAGGAGCAGACGAGAAAGCAGCCAGTGACGCTGCCAGGCATGCGTGGATGGCTCAGATGCACTTGATTTTTACAGTTAAGCTATCTCCTATCCCCTTGAAAGGACCACCTTCTAGAGAGGGCCAGGGCCAGGGTACACACGCTTCTCCACTGTGTTGAGGAAATGCCACCCTGAAAACACACCCAAACTGCAGATGGTTAGAAACTGCTGCTCAGAGCACGCGCTGTAAAGCAGGTGACCGTTCTTACCGGGAGATGACTAAGGGGTATGTCCACCTGTCCCAGGAAGTCGTCTCGTGTCTGTTGAGAAGAGAGAAAAGAATTAATGTTTCCGTCTATTTGTTGAGTGTCAGCATTCTTAGAAGTGTTTCTTTACAAATAGAGAAAGGTCCAGGGCCTGACGTGGGAGAGCAGGGGGGATGGGTTGAAGGCAGAGACCCAGGTGAGGCACAGACAGCCGTCGCCTCGGAGACCAGTGAGCCCAAGGCCTCACACACCTGACCTTGAGCTGCCTGAGACTCTGCAGGGCATCTACCACCCAACCCATTGGAGACAAATCTTCTCTTGGACCTGGAGAGCATGCGATCAGTCAGGGAAGGGACACCTGGGACCCCAGAAGGTTTGGGGGCACAGCTGGCCCAGTTTAAAGAGAAGATGGTAAAGAAATGTTGGGACCATTTTCACGAATATTTATTAAGTGCTATAAACAAAAGAGCTCCTTGAGAGCTGAGAGTCTTGGGAAAGAGTCCAGTTATTAATATATCTTATACATTACTTATTAAAAAATGGCACTGAACTTTCAGTCTAGTAAGTACACTGCTTCAGAATCCAAGATCACGCATGAGCTACTGGTTACATTTTTGGACACACTGTGCTTCTTCCCCTCTCCATCTCCCACACAGACCTCGATGAAATGCACGTGGAGAAGCTCACAGGTGCCCTTTCAGACTCTGGGAAGCACCGGAAGTCATAACTCAGGGTCAGGGGTCCCTGGTCTGGACCACGGGGTGTCCAGTGGGTCACGCTGACACAATGTCCTGCTGTAGGAGGGCTTGTGTCAGAGCCTCTGATGCTTAGATGACCTGCGATGTGAACCAGAAGGAACACGACGACTTCTGTTACCCCTAAAAACACGCAGTTGCTTCTACCACATTCCAAATGCCTATTATAGCTGGAAAGTTCTTCAGACATATCAGACCTGTCCTACTGCTAGCCTGGGGAAACGCCCAAGAGACAATCCTGACCTCCTCACTCCGGATCCTGGGCTCTTGTTTTCACTCCTTACTGGTTTCTTATGAAATTTTCTAATTTATATAACACGCTTTTGAAGCACACGTGAAAACATTCTCTTCTTGCATTTGAAAAGCAGCAGCAGATAAATGTGAACAAGACTTACTGAAATGATTTGCTCCAGGCTTAGAATTTCCTTTTATGTGATTAACTAGAAAACGATCTGTGTCCTCTAAACAATACATGAAGGATAATGAAAACTCAGTTACTGCTGGCTGAGCGTGCGCAAAGCAGGAGAGCCCCCATCCTTCCGACAAGACTCCGCTTTCTTGTATTTTCTCAGCTACGTCTGCCTCAGCCCACCATGGATACCTCACCGAGCATATGGCCGTCAGGTGCCGATGCTGTATATCTTAACAAGCAGTGGTCAGCACAAGGCCCAGAAAGTGGACCTCTTCACTGTCCAAAGAATTAGGGAGCAGTCCCATTCTGAATTTGTCTGATTTAACTGTAAAGCCAATGTAAATGTCAGTTAATTCCACGATCAAAAACACAGAAATGGGGACTTCCCTGGTAGCGCAGTGGTTAGGAATCCGCCTCCCAATGCAGGGGACACAGGCTCGAGCCCTGGTCCAGGAAGATCCCACATGCTGTGGAGCAAGTAAGCCCGTGCACCACAACTCCTGAGCCTGAGCTCTAGAGCTCACATGCTGCAACTACTGAAGCCCGTGTGCCTAGAGGCTGTGCTCCGCAACGAGAGAAGCCACCGCAATGAGAAGCCCGCGCACCACAACGAAGAGTAGCCCCCGCTCACCGCAGCTAGAGAAAGCCCGCGTGCAACAACGAAGACTCAACACAGCCAAAAAAAAAACCACACACACACAGAAATGTCTGATTCCTGACCATAAATTGTGTGTCTACCTAATGAGAGTAGTGAGGTCCTACCACTTGTCCCCTCTCCCCTCCTGCTACTGGTACTGATGCTGTGAAGGAACAGGACACGGGGATGCAACCATCAGAAGAAGACAGTCTTACCTGAAGCTCCGTTTCATAATCTGCTCTCTTTGTTTTCTTTTTTTTTTTTTTTTTTTGCGGTACGCGGGCCTCTCACTGTTATGACCTCTCACTGTTGTGGCCTCACCCGTTGCGGAGCACAGGCTCCAGACGCGCAGGCTCAGCGGCCATGGCTCACAGGCCCAGCCGCTCCACGGCATGTGGGATCTTCCCGGACCGGGGCACGAACCCGTGTCCCCTGCATCGCCAGGCGGACTCTCAACCACTGCGCCACCAGGGAAGCCCCATAATCTGCTCTCTTTGAATAGCTATCTATCGATGGTTAACCTAAGTGCATTTTAACAAAAATTCACAAAACATCCGCGTGCCCGTGTTGTTTTGCTTGGAAGATGTTAGAGTTCTAAACCCATCCGATGAGTTCACCATCTGAACCAAGAAGAGACAGGCACCTGCCGCTCAGGGCAAATCAAGTGCTGGGGCAAGGCCTCATCTAATCCTCACGGCAGCTGTAGCAGGTGGGCACCATTATTATACCCATTTTACAGAGGGGGAGCCTAGAGACCAGAGAGGTTCCTAGCTGGGTAGACTGGTTCCAGAGTCTGGGCTCTTAACTAATACACTGTCCCCCGTCTCAATAATGGGCAGGAAAGCGTGGCTGTGTACCAGCTTTGGGCTTCTCATCGGGATGCTGGCTCTCAACAGTGTGGATGAGAAGGGACTCTAATGAGAGCACAGTTTATGAGACTTCGGGGAAGGGGGTTCTGCTGAAACGCTCATCTGGGATGTTATCCTTAACACAACCTCCTGTTCCGAAGTTTATGGGATCCCAGTGGTACTCACTGCAAAGCTAGGCGGCTTCACTTGTACCTTAACAAGTTTTCTCATTACACTGAAAAGACAATTCCTAAAACAGACGAAGACAGAGCAACCTCACCCTTAAAGTAAACAGAAGGCTCTTATTTTCTGGTTTACATCAAGGGCGACTGTAATAAAATCATTTTAAAAATAAAATAGGGATCAAGTGTATAGAGCAGCACATGGTCAAGAGGTATTGGCTTAAAGAAGTGATTCACCCGTCAGTGGAACATGCTGGTGAGATCTAGGTTTCAAAACATCCCACTGTTGCCAAAAGTACAGACGTTTCAGGCGATGTAAAATATTTAGGTTAGTGACACTACACCAACATTAAATGTGTCTTCAATACCACAGAGGACATCTAGGAGGGACCAGAGGGCCTACTAGTGGCCTTTGCACCAAAATGAGAAGCTGGAGTATTTCAAGGCCACCTGGCTGTGCTGATATGGCAGGATCCCTACCTGCGGGCCCTGGAGAGCCAAGGTTTGAGGCCCTCAGAGCCCCGTTAGGTTATCGCTGCCACAGGATGACACCTTGCACCAATTTTATAAAAATACATTAATCAAGTCACTTAAATAATTTCCATTACAAAATTATTTCCATCAGGCATCATGTTAACCCTAAGAGCTTACAAAACACCAAATTAGTTTCAACTCACACAGTACATACTGGCATTTCTTGTGCTTATTTTTAAGTGGTAACTGTTGTCAATTTCAACCTCAATTACCTGTCACACTATCCTAGAGGCTGAAAATGTGCAGGTTAGTAACACAATTATACATGTTCCCTTCTGACAAGCCATCACATATTTTCCCAACATAATGACAATGCAAAATGGAGCCCTTGAAATGTGTCACATAAGGTGAAACAAAAATCTATATTCCATTACTGGAAAAGTGAAATAAATACACCAAACAGTCTCTCTCTTAGAGTTTGTGTCCCAAATGACGATTAACTACATTCAAGACCATTCCTCCGAAGGAAAGGGACAAGTGTGTGCCCTTGAGAGGCCATGGAGAGGTACGTGAGAGGTATGTGTGAATATCACTGGACCCCAAAGCCTGGGGACGATCACAATAGCTCCAGTGAAACCCTAACACAGCCCTGGGGCATTTCTCATTGTGCGCACCGGGCCAGAGATGCCAGCACTGAAGTGGACACCAGGCTTAGCTGTCCTCACAAAATAAACGAGAGGCGATTTCTCAAAGAACACATCCATTCAAGAAACACCACAGACTTTTGATCTTTAGGTTAGAATGGCACTCGAAGGATATGATCTGAATCTTACTACGTACTGATGACCACAGAGGTCACTGTGCAAGAGCTAGGCTAGGACTCTGCATTTCACATCGAAGCTGCAGGGGAGGAGGGGGACTATGTGGGGAGGACATCACCAGAAGTAACGGGTGCTGGCACGTAAAGCTGGGGTCGTGAAGGCTCTTTAGGAAAGGTGTATCAGAAAGGACGGGCGATTCTTGGAAGGTAAAATGACCCGTGCGTAATATAGGAGCTATACATTAAAGCAGCGCTTTTTAAACTGTGAGATGCAATCCCACTAGCAGTTCACAAGAAGCATTAAAACAAACTAGATATAACGGAATAAAAAATATTAGCGCCTCACATGAAATGTAAGTAAGTACTGTTTCGAGGAATTTCTTTCAATTACATACACAGGTGAGTGCGTGTACTAAGTTGTGATGTCAAATTAATTTCTTCTTGCGTGTCACCATCACGAGTTTAAAAGCCACTTAACTCCAGCAAATGATAGCCATCCAGTGCTACCCATGTCCTAGAAAGCATCAAGGAGCAACTTCCAAGAAAATTATATTGAGAATTTCTCAAGACAAATGGAAGAGAAGTACCAGAGGCATTAGAACGTAAGCCACAGAAAAAGAATTTAAGAGTAAAGACATGGAATGATTACATCTTCATGTATTACAGATCAAGGTAAATCTCCCAACTCTAAACAGAGAGACAGAAGAATAACCTTTGTTTTGCTGCTAAACCAGTAAATGCTTCTTCCTTGCGAGGCACGCAGCCCACACTCGGGCACCAGCACCGACCAGACAGGGGAAACGGGTTCTATTTTTAGAGTGACTTTGGAAGCATGCACTCTGAATTATCTAAATAATGAAACTTTTGAGAAACTTTTGCAAAAGCTTTTAGACAAAATGTTATAAATATAGTGACTCTTCAACAGT